CTCATTTACTTCGTATGCCTTGAGGCGCAGCATAGAGGGTCACCATAAATTTATTTATCGCCATGTATTTCAATGTATCTACTGTAACCTATGTTAACGAAAAATATATTTGAAATTGAATTGATGAGACATTTATGCATATTAGAGGAAATTACCATTGGTCAATATGCTCCTTTCGATACAAGCATTCGTCAACACGTGTGATACATGCTTGAAAGCCAAATACGAACCCTTTAAGATCACCATTAATGGTAATTGAAACACCAACCAAACCCATGTAATATATGTTCATTCAACAGGTAGTGGCACCTTTCTTACTCTTCTTAAAGTTCGCTCAAGCAGACCCATTGCAAGCTTCTAGTAGTGTGCATGTATTCTCTATATGATATATATCCTACCGAGTGACGAAAAATACCACTGATTCGGACACAAAATTTGATAATGACGTCATAAAGGAGATATGCGCTTCCCATAATATAGACATACACTTCACAACACCATATAACTCAAACTCACCAACAGAGAAATGTTATCTCACTATTGCTGAAATTATCAGGATACAACGCATGACAAAAAAAGAAAGACACAATACAAACTATCATGAAGTACGCCGTGATAGCATGCAATAACTCTTTACACTCTGCAATAGGCTACACACCACAGCAGCAATCAGTGCAGGAGTGCGTAGCAGCTAACCTGTCTAAAAACAAAGAACAGGTAATAGCTAGACGAAACCAGGAAACCGAGAGGACAATACTAAAGGTAGGTGAGACAGTTCATAAACAGGTTGCTAAAACACGCAACTACAAAACAAAACCGGTATTTTAAGGTACCTCAAAAATTATACATTTAATTGCTAATAACGTAACCGAAATTATTGGTAACCATCCGAATTCAAAGTCAATTGGCGTCCACTTCAAACTATTACGAAGACCTCACCTTGTTCCAGGCCTCCGCTCTCCGGAGCCTTCGTGCCATACGCGGCAGTCATCGTGAATGTCGCTCTTATAGAAAATAGTAATGTTATACATTGAATGAAAGAAGCGAAAGTCCTTTTTTTAAATCTATTTTTATTGAGGCTTTAGCCACCTTGAGTGACTATGTCAGCCTCATGGGAGGAATACTGGGTTCCCTACTCAAGGACATGTTCAAAAACTTGTACAAGTTTAGAGCTCCAATACATACAGGCTCTCTGAACCAACAATTAATTTGTCCATTGCATAAACTTACATTCCCAAACACTGTACACCTCAGGGTTACGTTACGGTTACATTCCACCAATACATGATATAGTCCTCTATTTTATTGCAAGTACTACAAAATGGGGATGGTTTAAAACCCATCATATGAAATAATTTATTAGTTGGAATGTGACCAGAACGCAGTCTAAAAGCCGATATAAGATGTTTCCTCGCTATATTGACAGAATCCAACCAGGGTACCCACTGTGAATTACTCTGGATGGTTCTGTACCATATTCCAAGGCCCTTATCCACCGACTGTTCTCCGAAATGATATTCCCACTTTTCTGGAGTTCTTTTCTTAAGTAGTGGATTAATCTCGATGGAGCGAAAGTCCTAAAATAACTACATTAACGTAATCTCGTATGCTCCTATAGTATTACTTATTTACATAGTACTAATATAAGACTAGCAGCCCTATATGCAAGTACTAAGAATATTAACAACAACATAGTTTCAGAACATTTACATAAATCGTAATAGGCGAATTAGCTTACTATTTAGATTTATGTAACGTAATGCTTTTCTACTTTTCATTGTATTTTTCGTACTTTAGTCATGTAATGTTGATACGAATTAAACAACTTTTATTGAAATAATAAATTCTTTTTTAAAAGATCCTTTTCCGCCAAGTTAGGGGCTCACGCTACAATTATATATTATAGCGTGAGTAGTACATAGATAGTACTATCACTAAAATTACTCTGCTTGTGGCAGTAACGGTGTTCACTGTAAACTGACATATCAGAATATGATAGGACGGGATACCCACGCTTCGTTATATGGATCTCAAAAAACAAAATAGAATATGTGTGCTTACCGATGTTGCTACTGCTAGACTAGGTTACTTTAGTTACTTCCATAGTATAATGTCCTATGGGACTCGTATGTGGGGTACAGCGGCAGATATACAAACCACATTTGTGTTGCAAAAACGAGAGATTCATTCTGTGCACCGTTTAGGTTCTGGGGTTTCTCTCAGAGAAAAGTTTAAGGAGACTGGTATCAAGACTGTGGCATTGAAGTACATTTACTCAAATATTTTGTACACCCGTAAAAATATACGTAACTTCATTAAGAAAGAAGATATTCATAATATTAACCTTAGAACTAAGTCCAAACTCATGGTACCATGATTTCGTTTAACTACGGTAAAGGATTCTTTTATGGGGAACTGTATACGTTTTTGCAATAAGATTCCGGAGAATATATTAAGATTATCATTTCCTAAGTTTAAAACTTACTTAAAAGTATTTTAATTGAAAAGTCATACCTATTACAAAATTTAAGAATATGTTTTAGATAAAAAAGTATTGAAAGACAACAAGAGTCTAGATTCCACACAATTATGATTCAAAGTGTTACCCATAGCATTGTTTGTGTTTGTTTCAAGTGTAACAATTTTACCTATGGAATAAATGATTATTTGAATTTGACTTTGACAACCTATGGGTTTTATAATAATAAAAAAAATAATTGTATTTATATAGCACTCAAAATATTAAAAAACATTGCCTAAAAGAACCAAAAACAGAAAAACTAACTTGAATTTATTTCCTAATGACAAAAGTAAAGTTTTACTCAGAAATCTTATCACTTCATCGCTAAACAATAAAATAATAAATTTTGATAATTTTAACATGTTATCGTTGCTATTTATTTCCATGCACAGGAAATGATTTCAATTAAATATTAACTTTCAAAATTGAAGATATAATTTCAAGTTCAAAAATTCTACATTGGAATTGCAACACTTTTAACACAAAAGAACACTTTTAATAGCAAGTTATTATTATTAAACATAATCTATTAGATCAAAGCACTAAAGAAAAAGCCCCAGAACATAACATTACATTACAAAAAATAATAATAAAATAGTACTAACCCCACTAAATATACGTATTTAAGTAATTAGGATTAATTTATTATAATGGAAGCTAACCTCAGGCGCGAGTTTCGAGGATAAAATTACTATAACTCACGGTGGCAAAGGTTAAACACCATTTGAACCTATGTATTTACGTAGTGGTTATACATATACTCTTTAGTATTTATCAGCATTTGTCAGTTAGTATACGCCGGTACATTTTTTACAGTAATAAAGAAACCCTTTATTATAATAGAATACACGAAAAACATCTTACCTTTTTCGTAGTTTCAGTTGCAATAGTGTTCTTTGTACTCATCGCCCGCTCGTAAAATATTGGTCTTGAGGAACGAAACTTTCGAAATACCGCTACCTTCGAAAAATAGATTTATGTAGAGTGCATGTTTTCTATTTCTATAAACTAGACACTGTACGGTTTGGAACTCAAAGTTTTATGTAAATAAATAAAACTGCATTTGAATGTAATTTTCATTTAGAAATCTACGAAAAATCAGAAACTTTTCCACGAAACTTACGAATGAATGAATGAATTGAGTGAACTAGAGAGGCGGTGAATGAATGACACTAAGATATCAAACACAAAAGTACTCGTAGAACACCTTTGATTTTTATTACACTACAGACTTTTTATAGAAACAGTATGTTGTCGTTGTTAATTATATTGTAGGTGCAAAAAAATAACTATAGTACAGGAAATTAGGATTAGAAAGTTATTGCCGCCTTTTTTCAATAGAAATTGAAGTATTGCGTGCGTGACTTCGACTATAATTAGAGTGATGCATGTTGCGAGATTCGGCGTTATTAAAATTAATCTTAACATTAACAATATATAATAATCTACCAGACGACCACATCAATTACCCTGGTCGTAAACTAGGGCGTTCTCAATACTGTAAAACGGCCCTTTCACTACCTGCATGGTAGGTAGTCCGCCGCGCAGGCAGGGGACTGTTCAGACACTATCCTGGCCCACGTATGGAGTCTCGCAGGACATTGTAGGATTGCAGGACGGCTTGCACGCTCCTACTACATTCCTAATCCTGCATTACGCGGCGGACGGCAAAGCGGACTGCAATGCAGTACAATGAATGCCGCCTTTAAGTGATATCTATAAGTGATAAGTGACACTGACCATCCAGACCAGAACCGATTTAGTCCATTCCCCGACTCCTCAGCCAGTGCACACACTGCCATCTGTTATGCCACCTATACGTCTTCAACATTAATAATAAGCACAACATAAACATTACAGAAACCAAAATAATATTATTAAACTGCCTCCGTAGCCGAACGGCTACCATGCCGGACTGCCACGCAGAGATCCCAGGTTCGATTCCCGGACTGGGAGAAATATTTGTGTGTCCACATTTATTTCTCTCGTGAGTTAGGGTGTAATTTATGGTTGTCTATGTGGGTATCCATGGCACCCGCGACACAGGGTTTCCCTAGTGCGGTGCTATGTTGAATGCGTGGATTTTTATTATTATTATTATTATGCAGTCTTGCAAAGGCGGTAGAGTAAAGTAAAACAACAAACAGCGTGAAGATAATGCAGTAAAACTGTACTGTACTGCAGTAGCAGTAGAGCTCCTTCGTCCAGGGAAGTACTGCTAGTGGCACCTTGCCTACTGCCGCCGAGCATCTAATGTTTACTGCATTTCGGTTTTGAAGGATAAGGGTACTGATGAAACTATACAATGCCCCTCAGAACTTTGCAATTTAAAGCTCTGAACGGCAGGTCTTATAGACAGGCGTGTCGCTTACCACCAGTCGTACGACTTCTTCGTCTTACCACTTGGTATCATAAAAAAAACACAATCAAACATAACAAAATGTTTTATTAGCTTTCCTCTGAAAATTAAGCAAATAAAGTAAATAAAAAAGCTTAACACAGACATAGACCTACCTACTAGATCATTCATTATCAATAAGTAATTCAAATTAAAAATATTAAGTACTTCAAAGTTAGTAACAACAAATTTTAACATGAAATGCGTAGATTAATTGTTTTTATACAAAGTTCATTTGGAATACATTAATAGTTCATTCATATCCATGTATCCCTGATACAACATTATTATAAAATAAGGCAATTATTGTTTTACCTTATTCGTTACCCCGGTAGACATACAGCTTAATTTCCCAACCATAACCTATTGCCTATGTTTAACTTTGCACGCCATTACGGCACCGCCGAACTCCTTTTCGAGGTACTTGGCGACAGCAATGCAAAGTGCGTCGTTGTAAGGTGCAGCCACCACTTGGATGCCAATTGGCAAGCCTTGACTGTTCACACCCAGGGGTACCTAGAAAAATAAGGTATGTTATATCGTCTCTTAAAATACGTAATTGTGGCATGTCGTATCTTCCAAATTCCAAACGGATGGATGTTTTTTAATTTCAAAGCTTATTTAATGGGCATGTTTTTTTTAGCTATATTTGATGAATATCTGTTCAGTTGTTTAAATATTATCAGTTGTTATCCCAGGAATGTCAGTCATAAGATGAATAGTTATTTTACTTCCATTTGTCCGATCGTTTTAAAATTAGGTATAGGTACTATGAAAATTAGATGACATTACAATATAACAATAGTATGGTGATCTCGATCTGATGCTGCACCCCGGACAGTCTACAGACTTCCCAACTCCCCAACTACTCACAGTAGAACTATTTTATTCGTAGTATCGGGGCTTTTGAATTTAAAAGTTTTATTAAGCCGATTGCTGCACAGTCAATGCTCAATAAAAAAAAATCGCCGAAATATTTTTAAAGAACGCAAAGGCCACAAATTCGGAACGACCACGAACGGTGGCGCGTACAGCGGAGCGGGAGCGCGCAAATGTGTGTATTGTGTTAGATACATCCACGACGGACGAAAAAACATCTATCAGCAGCGACTATCATCTTTGCACTCTAAAACAACACAATAAGGGAGATGCCACACGGGCGTTGCGTCGTCGCTACTGCGTTGATGTCAAAGGACTGAGTGCCACACGAGCTGTTCCGTTGACGCGCGCTATTTCAACGCACCGTGTGGCATGTATGTGTTCTATTTTATATGTAGGTAGTACAACGCAGTTGCAACGACGCAACACCCGTGTGGCATCTCCCTAAGGCATCTTTCTACGATTTTAGAGAAATTGCGCGAAAGAATGACACAACCATACCACACAAAGCGAAAATGGCGGACTTAGCTCAAGTAGGTCTAACGAGACCTACTCAGTTGGCACGCGTCTGACGCTAACTAACCACTTCTACTGTACATATATTGTTCTGTGGATATGTCCAACATAAGACACAACGTGAAACTGTACGCGCCGCCGTTACAGCCAAAGTGTTTAAAATCTCTTTATGTTCTGTGTACTCGATGTTACTTACTTGAATAGCAGGGCATTTAAGCATGTTGACCACCCCCCAATAAGCAAAGTTGTACGGGCGAACCATACAGGAGTAATGGTAAGGCGCCGGTTGTGGCGCGCTAGGGAACAGCAGCACTCCATTATCCCCTAGTTTACCCTGAAAAAGATTCATTTGAAATTGTTCTAGAAGAATCATTTTTTACAAATATCACATACGTTTGGTTTTCGTGCAGCTATGTTTTCTTATCGTAATGTTTAATCTTGGAATGTAATAAATATTGTAAGAAAGCCAATAATTCTATATTCATTTTATCTGATAAACTAAAATGGTTTACACGGCAACAGCAATAATTATTTTGGTTTGGATCCAAGATAGGGTTATCATTCCGAAATTTGAATAGTCCGGACAAAAGTGTGACATTTGCAAAAACTCCGGACTTTTTTTAACAAAATAAAATCGAAAATTAAAAATAAACTCTCTCTTGCGCGGCAGCAACGGTAAGCAAGTTGATTTTTTTTTCAAATTTAATGGTATTACAAAATGCTAGTATATGCCTATATAAATATATTACTATTCCTCATTTGACTCCGTCTGAAAAGACAACGAAACCGTCGTCGTGTCTATGCGATATTTGTGCGTAGATAAGATAGCGAAGATAAGAAGAAAGCGGGGAAGTCACTCCGCGAGACAAAAATCTTTTATTTTTCTTGGTTGATTGCTCAATCCTGTCATTATCCAGCGCAGTAAGTGAGAGTCTACAGAATTGCGAGGTGGATATTTTACTTAATATTCTGAAAATTGTTACTCTAATCTAAAAAATCCGGACAGAAGGTCAAAAAGCCGGACATTTCAGGATAAATTCGGACTGCTGACAATCCTAACACAGTCTGTTTAATTTTTTTTGGTAATCAACAAAAAAGTAAGATTTGTAGAAACAAGGCCAAAAGCATGTCAAGCTTGACACATGAGACTTAAATTCAACTCTATGCCATTTATGATAAGAACGATCTAAAGTCTTAAGTATCAAGTTTGATGTGCTTTTAGTACATATAGTCAAACATTAAAGTAAAAGATATAATGGTGTTTTTTACAATAATAAAAATTATACATTTAAAAAGAAAGTGAAATAATAGTACGACACAAATACTTACAAATAAGTCATCCTTGAGGTCCTTCGTAATCTTTTCAGCCCATTCAGCGTTTACTTTGGGCAATACCTGCAACTCCAGCAGTCGCATGATCGTGAAGAAGCAATGTCTGCTTAAACAAGTTAACTGTGGACAATACGTCATACTGTTAACAAATAAAATAACCATATTTCGATTCTCAATTCTAAAATGTTGCAATACCATGCCACATATATGCGTCTTCCCACCTTCGATATAGTCAAGTAGCTACAATACAGTGTATTTTTTAAATGTGACAGTAAGGGAAAAATCCAAAAGACACAATGAAACTGTTGTTTTTGTCAGGTGTGTGCACACACACAACAGAGAGCGCAATAGAGCCTAACCAGAACTGGTTAGGCTGGTGAAATTACAGGCACATGGGGTTTATCAACTAAGGTATCGGGGTGACGGGGCAGTGTCCTTAGAATCTTTGTGATTTAAAGCTCTGAGTGGCACTGCAACAGCCATAGATATGCAACTGCTATGGACAGGCGTGTCGCTTCCCACCAGGCGCGCGATTTGTTCGTCTCGTCACTTGGTGTCATAAAAAAAAGATGACAAACCTTTTTAATAAGTTCTACGAAACAATTAGCTTTAGCCACTCCATTATTGAACAAGGAAGCATAATCATCAGGTTCCTTGGACATCCAATAAAACCATAGCTTGTACATGTAGCCGAATCCTTCGTGGTTGTATGGTTCAGGACCGTTGCCCGAGGACTTTATTTCGTTGCTGATCTTCGCTAGGACTCTGAAAGAAAGAATATTGGATTAGTTCACTCAATTCTTACACTAGGTTACTACAGAGGCATTAAGATTATCATTTCCTATGTTTAAAATTTACATTAAAAGTATTTTAATTGAAAAGTCGTATTACAAAATTGAAGAGTATGTTTTAGATAAAAAAGTATGGAAAGACAAAAAGAATCTAGATTCCACACAATTATGATTCAAAGTGTATTCCATAGCATTTAAGTTTATTTGAACAGAGCAATCCCTAGAGTTTCTTGCTCGTTCTTCTCAGGGAGGTCAGCGTAGTGAACGAGCAGTAGCTTAAAAATGACGTTTTCAAGTGTAAAAATTTTACCTATGGAATAAATTTTTATTTGACTTTGACTTTGAGGTCCCAAGTTCGAGAAATATTTGTATGGCGTACATTTATTTCTCTCGTGAGTTTGGGTGTAATTTGTGGTTGTCTATGTTGGTGTCCGTGGCACCCGCAACACAGGGTTTTCTCATATTAGGTTGGTTGAGCAGTGAGGTAGTTGGAATGTCATCTGGTTAGCGACGTATAGTGAAACAGGTACAATTTTAGATAGTGTGTTTATTCGTTCATGGTGCAAATAGAAGTGAATTAATAATTCAATTATGATACAAAGAATCTTATGCCTACTCAATATTTCCTTCCATATGGAATCCAGTGACCTACTAAAGAAGTCACGTTACTTCGACACATTACAGTTTCCCTAGTGCGGGGCTTAGTGCATGTGTGCGTTATTATTATTACTAATAAATATTTTTATAAAAATGTAATTTACTTTAAGAAAATTAATAATTTTTTTATGAAAAAAGTAGCGACAAATGTAACATATCGTACTGTGAATACAATATTGTATTAACTCGAAAAGTGTATTTTCTCAGAATCGAAGATAATTGCTCGTTTCCCGTGAAAGATAATTAAAATGTATGTATAGGCTTATAGGTTATAGTTTCCTACAAACAATTTCGTACTTGCCAAATATATTTAAAAATAAAAGAGAAAAAATAATTTTATATTTTTGAATAAGGATTATTTTGGCCAGAACTAGCTCACAGAAAGCGTGTCTCATTTTGAGTTAAGTAGATATCTTTTAGTTGTTTGCAATATTCTAAAGACAGTTTTATAAACGTCTAGAGAATCAAATTTTACGTTCAATAATGGTATAATCTTGAATTTCACATATTTTGAATTATAACACTATTGTAATAGCAGTGCGATTATGAAGTATTTAATCGCGAGGCAAGATTTTAGGAAGTGAGACTGTTATTTTAGCCTGTTTTCAGGATTTTATATGATCAGATAAAGTACATCCTATCGAGTAACACATTAGCACATGCTTTAGACAATATCCTTAGGTGTATCGTATAGTTTTTGTAAGATCGTTATTTAATAATAAATACCTAAACCATTTGATCTAGAAAGATCTAGTGACTTGCCTTGAAAAGAATAGTAATTTTTTAACCGACTTTAAAAAGGAGAGGTTCTCAATTCGACTGTATGTTTTTTTTATATATGTATGTTACGCGATAGCTCCGACATTTGTGAAGCGATTTTGATCATTCTTTTTTGTTGGAAAGAATATAGTGATCCCACGTAATTTTGAAGAAAATATTTCACCTCTTAAGGGTGGCTGTTCATGCATGAAGACTCATTTTTATAAATAGCGCCTAAATGTTATTAGAAGGAGCAATTATTGTAATGGTTGATTTTGCTATGCTCCAATGGAAGGCGTTTTTCTCTCGATATACTTTAAACAGTGAGAACAGATTTTTATTATCTCCTGTGTTAAGTCCCGTACATGGTCCTAGACCGAAGCCGGATCTTGTCTACCTGTATTCAAGGCCAAGAAAACAAGTGAACTTAACTGCTAGTGATCAAGGTCGTGGATGTAGACTGGCGAATGTGTACATAGCCATTTTTATATGTTTCACGACAAAGGCTATCCTCATTGAACTTGACAAGCAATAATTAGTACAGCCATGGTCGGTAATGGTAAGAAATATGCCCAAGGGTTTTATTTGGGGCATTATTGTCGAGTTAGCTTGCATGCAATCATACTATTTACGTGCAAGTGTAATGAAAAGTTTATTATACAACTTCTTCGTACTCGGATGACAAAAAGCCATGGTAGTGACCCGTTTTCGCTCTTGCAGATTGTCTTGATCTACAAGTGTTTGCTTACAAAGAGCAATCCCTAGAGTTTCCAACCCATTTTTTCTAGAGAGATCTGCCTTACGAATTCAAGAGTAATTTGCTTTACTATGAAATAAAGATTTTTGAATTTGAGTTTGAAATTTATGTAAAAAGGGTGCAAAAAGACCCATAACGAAAACGAGAACTACGCATTCTTCCCATCGTTGCTAGTATTTTCTTGTATGGGTCCACGGCTGGGAACCTGATAGTTAAGCAGATATTGACGGTCAAAGGGATATTTTTTTCTCGTGTTTTTTAAGAAATCTGTTTTGAAATTTTATTACTAAATACATATAACAAAATGATTAGTAGAGCTCGTTGTGAAAGAGCTCGTCCAGGGAAGTACTGCTACCTTACCTATTCTGCTGCCAAGCAGTAATGTTAGCATTACTAAGGGTGCTGGTGAAATTACAGGCACATGGACCTTGTCAACTTATGTCTCAGTGTGACGGGCGCAGTGACAGTGCCCCTAAGGTCTTTGCGATTTAAAGCTCTGAGTGGCACTGCAACTGCTGCGGATAAGCGTGTAGCTTACCATCAGGCGCACGACTCGTTCGTCCCATCATTTGATATTATAAAAAAAGAAAAAAGGAAAAACAAAAAACTTTCCAAACAAACATTATATTTTTTTTCTTAAATTTAGAAGTAAACGAGGTGTTTGTTTCTGCTAACTAAGATTCATTATAAAAAGAATACCTGTTCATAGCTGCTTTCATTCCAGGAGTCAGAGGACTCACGTGACAGTCATCGGCAGATTCGGTGTAAAAGAACTTAATGTCCTAAAAAAAAATTAGTCATAATAGTTTCTATTTTTTTTTACGATCTCCATTGAATTATCTATATTTATTTATTTATTTATTTATTATAAAACATCTTGCGGACTTACAGCTAAACCAAAGTGCCCAGCAAGAAAAAACAAAAAAAAAAAATCGATACAATACTAATACACTACTAATATTACATATAAGTATTACCTTAAAATTAAATATAAAATAGTCATTTATTACAAACTAACTAAAGAAAACAGAAAATCAAAAATAGCTTATATTAGCATAACGAGTAATGGCATCAATGAGTTTCGACATGTTATCGGCAAACACATCAGCATTCCGGTCTAGTGCAAGGAAGTCATTTAAAGAAATTATTGCCCTGTTGGTCGGTGCATTGTATCCCTGTAAAGTGCGCGCTTGAGGAACTGCAAAAAGGTCACGTGCGCGCCGTCCCCTGCGACTCATCGTGCTAACGTAGCGATTCGGCACAAATAGAGCCAACCTTTCAAGAACGGAAGGATTATCGACTTTGTGGCGTAAAAGCCGGCAGTAGTGCACAAGCAGCCGAACCTTCCGGCTCAGTTTAAGCGAGTTGATCCCTACCATCCCAGACACAAATAGTGAAGGGAAAAGAAAGGGATAATATCCATACAACCTTTTGTAGAGATACCGAGCAAATTTACGCTGCACTTTCTCGATCATTAAGCTGTATAGCTCTTCTTGAGGATCCCACACTATAGCATTATACTCGAGCTTGGAACGAACGTACGCATTGTACAGTATCACAGCAACTTTGGGGTCACGGAATTGATATGCAGTCCTAATCACAAAACCTAACACTTTGTTAGCGGATTTAACGATATTAATGATATGATCGTGCATATTCAACCGGGTGTCTATCGTTAGGCCCAGATCTTGTATTGAATTGACACGGACAAGCGGAACACCCGACAGGTGGTAGTCCGCATGTATCGGATTTAAAGACCGAGTAAAAGAAATTATTTTACATTTAAGTGCATTGAGCGGCAACTTATTAATTGCACTCCACTGAGCTACGGCATCGACCACCCGCTGAAGCGAATTGCAGTCAGCAACATTACTAACTGGATGCATGAGTTTGAGGTCATCCGCAAATAGAAGGAAATAAGCTCCAGTAAGGCACTTCCCGAGATCATTAATCATAATTAAAAATTGCGTTGGACCTAAATTACTCCCCTGGCTTACGCCTGAGCGGGTAAAAAACTCATTTGATCTAAAACTAGACACTTGCACATATTGTCTGCGGTCCTTTAGATAGTCGGCGAGAAAAGATAGCAACTTGGGAGTAAAACCTAGGATTGAACATTTACTAAGTAACACGTCATTATCAACGAGGTCAAAAGCTTTCCTGAAATCAAAATATATTGCATCGACTTGTCGGTTTGAATCCATCTGACTTAGCACGTAATCAAAAAAGCAAATGTGGTTAGTGACTGTGGAACGCGCACCACGGAAACCATGTTGCGCTTCATCCAACTGATTACTGATTTGCCTTATAAGGCTACCGTTGATAATACTCTCAAAGAGTTTACCAAAAGCGGACAAAATAGCGATTGGCCTATGAGTTGATATCTCGGTGGATTTTGGTTCCTTTGGTATCGGGATCACTCTCGATACCTTCCACTATAATGTTGTTATAGGAGTATAACGAAAGGAAAAATAAGTGTTGTATTTACTCAGTGCTTCCTCAGAAATTTCTTTGGAGATGCCTGAAGTTGACCACATATTGCTTTGGTTAATAGAATGTTAAGTGACGATCTCCGTTATCGAGTGGCTAGCATACCGGTTCTCATAGCGTCGGTATCTCTGAGGTCTCAGGTTATATCTCCCGACGGGTCAATGGGTCTTTGTGGTACCGTCGTTGTTTCCGATTTCCATATTACAAGTGCTTTAGTTACTTAATTTGAGATGCAACATGACGCATGCAGAGCAACTTAGTAATGTTGCCTGAATTATAAAAAAAAAACAAAATTAAAAGTACCTACCTGAATATTGATGTCTCTGTCTAACTTCAGAAGGTGAGCTTTGTCTCCTGCCACGATTTTGGTTAAAGGCGCAATGTCTTCAACGTGTTTGGAAATGAAGCCCAGTGATAACATGGAGTCTTTATCGGTATCATCACCTTTGCGGAAGAATACTCCTGTAATCAAAATATTGATAAAATGCTAGTGTTATTTCTAAATAATAATACTTTATAAATTTTTGCATGTGCGGATTTCTCCTGTCCCTGAATAACATGAAACGGAAACACATTTTTTTAAATGTAATTTTTCATTTATTTAAAGATGTTTTTAAGATTTTAGCTCTGCTACTTAATTATCATACTTATTAAAGTTTTTAAACCCATGTTTTTCATATAACTGTCCGGACCTCTGTTTACAAACTTTTTAGTACTCATTTTAGTCCAGAATGGTTTACACCAGTATCATTCAAGATCCTTAGTAAGCAGTACGTATGTGAACGATGGAAGTACTGTCGCCCCTATTTCTGCCGCCAAGCAGTAATGTGAGCATTACTGGGTTCCGGGTTAGAAGAGTAAGGGTGCTGGTGAAGTTATAGGCACATGAAACTTGTCAAGTTATGTCTCAGGGTGACAGTCGCAGTGGCAGTGCCCATAAGATCTTTGCGATTTAAAGCTCTGAATGGCACTGCAATTGTTATGGATAGGCATGTCGCTTACCACACACAGGTGCACGATTTGTCGTCCCGTCACTTGGTATTATAACAAAAAAATCCTGGGTGGCGAAATGCTGCTTGTGTAATCGCATAGAAATATAATCCACGACGTTCATTCTTTTAAAATCTACCATCAAATATCCAAGTGTCCGGCCCGAAGATATAATTACCACCGCTATTAGGATGTGTACCTTTTCAAAGTACACATCCTTAAAACCACGAAATATTTTGAAGTCACTATTGCTTCAATCTCGAGTTACCTGCCGTGACGCGGCACTCGAATAGTGCGTATGTAACAGTGTCGGCTGGCGTATTTGCACGCAATTTAAGAAGTATCTAATTACCGTTTCCCTATGCGTGAATAACGTTTTTCTACAACACGTGTTGTCGCTTGTTGAAATAAAAGGGGCTCGATTTTTAACTTTTTCACGTAGGTATATATATGCCTATTACTACTTAACTAAGTGACATAATTTTTTTTTTACCAGAACTGTTATAACCTGGTCTCTCGCCCAGTGGGGCTAGCGCGAGATACTGCTATTCTCGCGTAGAAATCACGCTCTATGTCGCTCTCGCGCAAATCCCGCCCTATTGTGCTAGCCCTACAGCGCCCACTTAACGTTGAGTTTTGGGACACCGTGCATATTATACGATGTCCGAATATTTTCCTTCACTTCCAGTTTTTGAAATTAAAAAATAAATGTCTCGTGTTCTAAATACCGTGTATGGTTCGTAAAGGTCTTTTAAAACCCTGTATAATAAATGTAACAAAAAACCTGGATGTACTACGAAGTATGGTATCAAAGGAAATAATGGTGTCTCACAAGGTGATGTTTTAGGACCACCACAGACCATATAAGACCACAATCAAATATAATATGAAAAAAATAATGTTTCATTCATTTTATTAAATTTGTATACCTCTTAGATTAGTAGTTCCAGGAGTAGGATAATGACCGAACACGCCGCAGTAGAACGCAGGCATTCTGGTAGATCCTCCGAGGTCCGAGCCTGAAAGCGTGTACAAAAAGTTAATGCTTAACTGATTTCGTAGTACCACCGTAACCATGAAAGTGGTACTAAAGCGCAGATAAAACTTTTTTTATGATACAAGTGACGGGACGAACAAGTCGTGTGCCTGATGGTAAACGACACGCCTGTCCTGAACAGTTGCAGTGCCACTAAAAGCGTTCTTAAAATCGCAAAGATCTGAGAGGCACTGCCACTGCGCCCAGTCGCCCGAAAGCATAAGTTGACAAGCCCCATGTATATATGTTCACCATATAAAGCTGCGAATAGATAGACTGTATGTCTAACGTGCAGTCTCGCATTTAAGATTCGTATCCTGCTGTCCCCAAAATACTTGACAATGTCCCGCTTAGACAAAACGGGACCACGTGACTTTAATTTAGAAAAAATGGCGCGAAAGCGAAAAATGTAATTATAATGCCAGTCCACAAAACTATAAAAGATTAGTTATTCTTTTATCTACACACATATCATAAAATCTCTATAATGAGTTAAAAAACCGCGTATTACGACCAGCATAAAGGTAAACTGTTTTGTTAGAATAAATTTCTTATCTGTGAAAATGTTATTATTGCTTCAATTCTATGATAACATTCGATGATAATAATAATATTACATTAAAATTTCGAACATCTCTGAAAAACAAAACAATTTGTTTGGACCTCAATTCTATTATCAGTCGAGATGAAGTTTTATTCGAAATGAAATGTCAATAGCAAACAATTTTGACAATTTCACACGTTACTTGATATCAAACGATATGATAACTGGAGCCGATTCTAGTTTATCTATAAATTAAAAATAAAAACTACGGTTGTGTGACATGTGTGAGAAAAGTTTTTATTTGCCGCCATTTCGCCAGTCGTAACACGCGGTTCCTGAACATATCACAGAGAGCTTATAATATGTGTGTAGATAAAGCAGTGTATGTAACTGTACCTAATTAGGCCTTAAAACATTCGTGAGATGCGCTTTTATTTTCATGCCTGTCATTATGTAACAGTCACATAAACTACTATTTTTAAATTTTTTGTCATATAGTATTTTAGTCTGTTTTTTTATTGTTTTTATTAATTAAACATTTCGTAACTATCATAAACGTGGTGTTTTATATTTTAAAATAATTATAAATTTACAGGCGTTCCGCTCTGAGGGTAAAAAAATAATGGACACGTTATGCATGCTGTAGTTAATACGTGCAGTTGAGAACTATAATTCGAGAATCAAAAGCAACAATTGACATTCCTGAGATCATAAACGATTTTTTTGTGTCTGAAACAACTTGATTTCTTTCAGTAACTGCAACCATTACTCGATTTTCAATGTTTATTTCCTTAATAAAAAGTGCCTTCACTTTTTTTGGAATTATAAAGGTTCTGAATACAATAACATGCTACAAGTAGCATTTATTTATGCTTCCATTTCAACATCATTTTACACTTAGTACCAGGGTTAGGCGCGCGACGGTAACTGCTTGCTGTCACTGCATGCAGTCGGTTTCGACTATGTATAATTAAAGGTATAATGCCTTGGCGTCTGTGGTCGAGTGGTTTCAATAGTGTCGCCATCTCTGAGGTTCGATTTCCGGCCTGATCAGTGCAGGAAAACTAACTTTTCTACATTGTCGCGGGTGTGGGTATTTGTGGTATAGTCGTTGTTTCCATAACACAAGTACTTTCTTTAGCTACTTACTTTTGAGATCAGAACAGCGTGTGATGTTATATAATGTTTAATATTTATTTATTACTTAGATGAGAGAGATTTTTAATGCCAATGTGGATGGAAGGGTTTAAGAAGAAGTGTAAGAGGACGTCCCAGAAGGACTAGCATTGATCAGATCAATGGTGTCCTGAAAAAGGCTGGGATCCGAAGTGACAAGAATAAAAGAACCGTGAACCGTCAACCGTGACCGTAGGACCTGTAAAGGGCCCGAAATGTTGGTTTGTTTGAAAAAACATATATACGCGAAGTAACAATCGCGGGAACCTAAGAACTCGATAAGAGTAAGAGAAGTTGTATGAAAAGGGTAGTTGATGTATGTGAAGCTAGAAAGTTGTTTCAGAATAGAGTAAGGTGGCGTTCCGTGGTCTTTATATACTCCTGTGGCGCGTGCTTATGTATGTATTTATTACTTGCCGTATTCAGTGTTGTATAATCACGTATAATTAAGTCTAATAGTCATGTCCGGTCACCTACTTGCCCGGTATGTGACATGTAAAGATTGGAGATTTGCATTGAATGCGTCGTAATTGTGGAAAAAAATACCTTGACCAAATTTTCTTCGAAAACTGACAGTCAAATGGTCTACCTGATGAAAGATTACCATTGAACGAACCCTTAATATCATTTCGTCATCATCCATTGATTGTCATGAGACATAAGACAGACAGATCCCATAGTCCCTAGTAACGGTAGAGCTCTTTGTGAAAGAGTTGTTCAGGGAAGTACTGCCACCTTATCTATTTCTGCCACCAAGCAGGAGTGCTGGTGAAATTACAGGCACATGTGCGCTGCGTGCGTGCTGCTAGCATACCGTACGCGCGCTGCGCGCGTGCAATTACATACATGTTACTATATTATATATTATGTGGCGCGCGAAAGGCACGCGAACAGATCGCACAACGTAATGCACGTGTGCAGCTCGCGAGCCTTTCTACGATCTGTACGCACCCTAAAAACATCATGATATTCAATAAAATAAATAACAGTTTAATACCCAAAGAACTTCATACTTACACAAACTTATGGTAGTAGCATAAGAAGCGGTAAGGGCAGCCTCGGCTCCACTGGAACCTCCAGGCGTCCGTCCAGTGTGATGAGGGTTATTTGTCATGCCGTATACCGGGTTACGGGTTTCTTGCCTAGATGGACAAGATTTAAGATATGTAAGTTGACATAACAAGTTCTATCTAGCTATAGATAGAACTGTCTTATTCAAAAGTAAGTGTGCATTTGTCCTCCATCTTACCTGATGGAAAGTGACGATGAGGTCAACGATGGAGCATGCACACCTAAATAATGCCTATTCACTCTCGCCTTGAGAAGGTCTAAGTCATAACGTTCAGGGAACAAGTCTGCAGGCAAGGAATTCCAAATTTAAGGAATTTTATTACAATAAGTACAGAATATTTTTGAAATATACGGAGACGTACACACAGGACTCTTGTCGGCGCTGTACTATTTCAGCTTTCTAATTTGTGATTTCAGTGCAAACGAGAGTTGATATTTAAAAGTGATATAAGGCCCTTTTCCCTGATGAGTTGCCAGAGATGGCTGACCTTTATTTCGTCTCTATTTCTGGTTATATACTCGATGTTTGTAGGAATCAAATACTAATCGCGAACTCACAATGTATGTTCGGCGTTAATGAAAGTCACATAATAATTTACTCTGTGTTTTTCTTATTTGTTCCTCCTGTTTTCAGGTATTCGGTATTCGGTATTTGACCTATTAGTGGTTCAAACTTCAGTCAATAAGCCGTATACCAAATGATAACCGAATATTCGTGACTGACTGACTGTGAAAAAATTTACGATGGAAAACTTGTGACTTACCAAATTAGGAGTTCGGGTAGATTTGTAGTCGCAACAGGAATGGCGCCAGCTACCTTCAGACGAACCAGAGCCTCGCTGTCTTCCGTAGCGACTTCACGACGACGCGACCAAAGGCCCATTGTAAATTTCATGCCTTTCATTGCGTGGCTCTCCTTCAATGTGAATGGGACACCTATTAAAGAGAAGGTATTATGATAACTGAAGATACGGAAAAAAAATCGCACCTTTTAAAGAAAACTCGTCACAAAGTTATAAGGGTTTTCAATCAGTGCGTTCTATCCGTTATGACATGGAGCCCTGGCGTAGACACTCACGATACGGTTAGCCCGTCAGTTAAACGCTTAGCGAGCTATGCTCGGAGTTTTTCTGTAAGATAAGATTTGAAATGAGATTATCCGAGAGAACCAAGATCGTCGGTCGTCGACATAGCTGATAGAATAAGCATGCTGAAGTGACAGTGAGATGGCAATATCTGTCGAAGAAGCGATAACCGATGGGGGAAACGAGTTCTTTAGTGGAAACAACCGGTCGGCCTCTGGCCAGTTCATAAGAGACGATCTGCGAAAGGCTGTTGGTAGCAGATAGACGTGACAAGCTGAAGACTGGGCAAAATAGCGCACATTGGGAGAGGCCAATGTCCAACAGAGGACTGCGATAAGCTGATGATGATGACATGAAACTAGCTTCAAGCGATATCTTGTTGTAGCTTTGAAGTTTCAGATCTTAATATTCTAAAGAAATCTGCAAGGCACCTGTTAACCTTGCGCAGGAACTTCACATATATCTTCATATATCTTCTTCTTGGCGTGTTGACTCTGACGTTTATATTTGTACCAGAGAGGACCAGTACTTAGCGACTGAGACAGCATTATCAGTGGCGTTATAAGGTCTTCGAGTGTGCAGGTGCAGGGACACGCAGGGCAGGACAAAAGATGTGCCATTGTCCGGGGAGAGCCACCACATAGACATGCGCTCTCCGAGCTATAATAAATATAGAGCCCCACCCGTGCATGCACTCCTTTCTTCGGTCGACTTGTATCCGCAGCTTGTTTAGAGACTTCCAAGTTTGCCAAGGTAGATCATGCCCAGGAGGGAGGTGCTCCGACAGCGGGATGAGTGATGCCGTGGGGTATCTCTCGCTTCAGAGACTTATTCGGGCCTGGATAGATTCCCCGTCCAGAGGACATACTTCTTTAATGCTATGGCGACTCTTTCGCATCTGGATTCTGGCACACATACGTGTATGTAACGTTTTATAACTTTCCTATTTAAGCATAAAGCTATAGACTCATTTCGTCCGACCAACGGGCCACTTTTCTACGCTGGGTGAGTTTGTGTAACTGTTACTCCACAACGACACTGAAAGGTTTTCTGATGGGGTTCCAGGCCTAAGTCGCATACTGTTAGTGTTGTTAGTTTAAAAGTTATCATAATGTCTAAGATATCCCCCACGCTAGCGTCTTTCGTTGTGACTCGAAATACGGTAATGTCTAGTCTCTAAAATCTGTCTTCTGAATTTTTCAGATGTAGCCTTATTACATCATATGATCTGCTTTACCAAAAATTCCCTAAGCACTTACCAAGGAACGGTTTCTTTCTGGCCTCCTCTTCGGACATTCCAGCTGCGATGATTCTATCGACTTCTCTTGCCTCATCCAGAGCGGCCACATAACGCTCTTCCGCCACTGCATTGATTATCGGGTTCACCTGGAAGATACGATGGACTAATTTACGAGTACGTAATTATACAAGCGAGCGTAATGAGCGATGGTAGAGTAGAAGAACGGTAGCTTCTCAATTTCTCAATAGACGGTTCTAATCTCTGGAACCTCTGACATATTTGACATAGTGTAATGAGACAAGTAGTGTAATGCATTTCCACGCCCCGTGATGTCAAACGCGCTGATTTGCATGGGCGAGGGCGCTGTAGTGCAAGTCAAAAAAGGAGGAGACTCCGCGATAATTTGTGAACCGATTTGGAACATTCTTTTTTGTTGGAAAGAAAGCACCTGGTGGTGGGCAGTAGTGGTCCCATTGAAATTTGTAGAACATATTCCACCTCTACGGGGGACAAACTAGGTGAATCCGGTATCGCGCACTTTCCGGAAACCGATTTGAATAAAACTTGGCAATTAGACGTAATTCCATGAACTTTTGACATGAGTCTTTTATGTACTCTGGTGCTGAGAGTATATAGAGAGGATACCGACTAGTGGCGGATCTGAATAGGCCGCCACGGGCGAGAAAGGGCTCGCTCGGGCGAGCATGGCGCGCTCGGGCGGTTCTCTTTCTACGGTGCGTTTCCAAAAAACGCGTGGAACAGACCGCGAAAGATGCCACGTGCCGTGGAACCTATTATAATAAATTCCCGCACTTTGTTAACTTTAAATCGGATTAAAACCCATTATTAACCTACAAAATCGAGGATTAAAACTATTTACAACTAAATATTTGTTATAAATCGAGTTTAATTCAAACTGAATGAATTTCCTTGAATTTTGAAGCGAATTTGTTATTATTATTTCAATGCGAAAAATCCTAGTGAGAATCCACAAGATTGCAATGTGGATATTTTGTGGAGTTGTCTCTTTTTCGTGTAAAATTTGTTTTTAGTGACGGGATGAACAAGTCGTGGTCCTGGTGGTAAGCGACACGCCTGTTTATAACAGTTGCAGTGCCACGCAGAGCTTTAAACCGTAAAGATCTGAGGGCCACGTCACTGCGCCCGTCACCTTGAGACATAAGTTGACAAGTCCCATGTGCCTGTAATTTCACATTGATGACATTACTGCTGGGCGGCTGAACTAGGTAAGGTTTCATAAGGAGCTCTACTGTTTGTTACCAAGATTATTTCTAGAAACTTCTTGCTTATATTGTTTATGAAAATGTGGGTACATTATTTTTCAGTAAAAGCGGCATTACAGATGTGAAGAGAGAGTGCAATAAAGCTAACATTATGGTCCAGATATTTTACTAATTACCTAATTAATTACATATTAGGCAGACGCTTCTTTATGGAATTGAAGCATTCCTTTGGTGTTTAAAATACTTAAAATATTTTTCTATGTGTATGTGTAGAGAAGCACTAAGTTTATAATGTTCCATTATTTAATGTCTGGTGTTTCCCATGCCCATGTGGAATATCCTAAATAAGTAAATAATAAGAGGTTAATGTAGGTTCAAGACTTAATCATTTAGGATTACATAAATGGTAAACGGATTTAATTAAATATACCTAAATTGATACGTTTTAAAAACAATAATAAGTTTTTCTCTATCGGACCGAAAGTTAATTAAATAAAGTAATGTATTAAACATTTTCGGATCAAAATCGCGTAAGTAAACAATATATTATATAAGATGTTTGGTGAGCTGTAATACAGGTCTAGTTGCCTAGTACGGACTCCAGTCTCTCACAAAGGTTTCCACATATGAATATTGTTAGTCTTTACCTAATTGTAATGTCTGCTCCTTTGTGTTGAGATAATAAATAAAAATTATTATTATTATTATTATTATTATTATTTTCATCATACTTGTTCGTAAATGGTATGATTGCATGGTGGCTAACTTGACTATAATGCCCCAAACAAAACCCACGGGCCTTTTCTCTTTCCATTACAGCCATGGTCGGTAAGGAGTTTCTTTTTTTTTGTAGCACGACATATTCAATTCAAGTGGAGTCATTTGCCTGTCATGTATAAAAAAAAAAAAAAAAAAAGTTGAAGCAAGGAGGTTATTTGAGTTCGAAATTAAAACACTTGGTTAAAATGTTATCTAAATAGAAATTTAATTGTAATTCAGTCACATACTACTTAAATACGTATTATTAAGAATTACTTATAATTGATTTCAATTATTTTGTGCATAAAAATTTTGCAATTTTTTTTACAATCCATCATGGCTGTATGCATGTTTGCTTTTTACATTTTAGTTCGAGTTGTATTATCTATGGGAGAATTAAAAACAAAAAAAAAAAACCCGCCATTTGCCAATTTCATAATAACTGTTGTGTTGTGAACCATATTTATATTGTATTTATTTCCTCGCAAATGTGATGAAAAATTGTTTGTATCATGGAACGGACGGTAAAAAAAATACAAAACTCCAGATATTAAAGCTCTCAGTCGTTGGCTTCGTGCTTCTAATAGACCCTCGTTAGTAATTGCTTATTTCGGCCTTATTACATAATCTATTAATGTTTTTTCAAACAAACCAAACTTTCGGCTTTATCTACACACATATTATAAGCTCTCTGTAATGTGTTCAGAAACCGCACGTTACGACTGGCGAAATGGCTGCAAAAACTTCTCACGCATGTCATACAACCGTAGTTTTTATTTTTAATTCATAGACAAAAACTAGAATCGGCCCCAACTATCATATCAAAATTGTTTGCTATTGACATTTCATTTCGAATAAAACTTCATCTCGACTGATATTAGAATTGAGGTCCAATCAAATTGTTTTGTTTCTCAGAGATGTTCGAATTTTGAATGTAGTAATAACATTGAATTCGAAGCTAATGATAATAATAACATTTTCACAAATAAGAAATTTGCTCTAACAAAACAGTTAACCTTCATGCTGGTCGTATTTTGCGGTATTTTAACACATTATAGAGAGTTTATGATATGTGTGTAGATTTACATGTACATTTTTTTACAACATCATGTGACGGGACGAACAAGTCGTGCGCCTGATGACAAGTTACGTCTGTCCATAACAGTTACAGTGCCACTCAGAGCTTTAAATTGCAAAGATCTGAGGGGCACTGCCACTGCGCCTGTTACCCTGAGACATAAGTTGACAAGCCCTATGTGCCTGTAATTTCACCAGCACCCTTACCATTCAAAACTGGAATACAGTAATGCTGACATTACTACATTTATTTTAAGGACCTATTGCATTCACAAAACCTAACGCGGTTGAAACGATGGCTCATCTTAAAACTGGATCAACTAATATGAACACTACTCCAAACCATGACAGGACATGATGCTAGCAGGAGCAACTCCTTCCATCGCCATTAAGAAAACCCATCTGATTATGGCTTTACAAGCCGATGGCAGATTGAAATCGAAAAAAAAAAATTTAATTAGTCTGCTGCAATTGTGTGACCTGTGAAGAACCCGGAACTTGATTTTTTTTAAGTTACTTTAAATCGCTCTCCAGTAATACTTTCTAAATGCACGTTAGGCGTTTTACCTTTTCAGTGTCGATATATAGACTAACAATTTATTTAATATATTCAATACATCACAGAAAAATTATTAAAAACATAAGATTGCAAATAACCGACGAATAGAAAAAAAACTATCTATCGTCTTAAGCCTTACGAAGTGGTTTTAAAACTACGCTAGCTTGAGAAAAAACTTAGCAGATAGTTAGACGTACTCGATTGTATTTTTAGCACAAAAAACTTGAAATACGATAATTATCATCACGAGTGGAAACGTTATTATGACGCTCTTCGTGTGCTACCTTCGGTTTTACGGTTTCGTCATTTAGCTTGTCTGCAATTTTGTGGTTGACGAATTGTACAGGTTTTGCTGACGAAGATATGTACGTATCTTTATTGTTATCGTTAGACATAAATTGCTGAGCAGTTATTTACAGTTTTATTTTTAAAACGTTTCTTCAAATAGTATTTAGCGTACATATAGTGACTATTTTTTTTAACAACAATTGCTTTACTTTATAATAATGTTGTATCAAGTATTTCAAATGAACTTTGTTTAAAAACAATCATTCTACGCATTCCATATCAAAATTTGTTGTTACCAACTTGGGAGTGCTTAAACATTTTTAATTTGGATTAATGATTGATAATTAATGTTCAAGTAGGTACTGCTTATGTCTGTGTTAAGCTTTTTTATTTACTTTGCTTCCTTAATTTTAAGAGAAAGCCAATAAAACGTTTTGTTATGTTTCATTAAGTGCGTTTTTTTTGTAATACCAAGTGACGGGACGAACAAGTCGTGTATCTTGCCCCTTGTTACCCTTAAACATATTTAAAAATAAATTATTTGACTTGTTATGTAATCTGTGTATATATATGATGTCAAAGATTATTTAAAATGAAAAGAAATTGACACATTCTCGTTTATAAGTATAACCGATTCAATATATTTATAAGATTTTTTTAATAATTTATCTATTGTAATTAAATATCTACAAGGACTTACTTTTAAATGACAATTGACGAAATGGCTTTTAAAGTAATAAAGAATATTTAGTAGTTACAAATACCAATTGATATCAATTCGAAATGCAAATTGTGGATTGAAGAAAATGAGCAGACTTGGTACCCGATGCTTGCGATTTAAACTTTGAGTGTCACTTGATTATACAATAACTTTTTTATAAAAAAATAACCAACTTCAAAGTTCGTGGAAATACATCTATTAGCCAAGTTTTGTTGAAATCGATAACCGGAAAGTGCGCGAAACCGGAATTATCCCCTAATTTGCCACTCTTAGGGTCGTATTCCAGAACGCTACTCAATACTCAAGTCAGTGAGCACTGAAAATCATACTCAAGTCCTTGCCTTTAGGGTCGTATTTTCAGTGCTTGAAATCATACTCAAGTCTGCTCAAATCCTGGCTTGAGCATTGAGTAAAGTACTGGAATACGACTCTAGGAATATTTTCTTCAAATTTAAATGGGACCAACAGTAAGATACACTCTTTCCAACAAACAAGAACATTCAAAATCGGTTCACGAATGCTGTAGTAATCACGTAAGATACATACAAAAAAAACAGTCGAATTGATAAAAGTAAGTCGGTTAAAAAAAAAAGAGTTCACGACAATATAGTACCTATGCCTAGAGAAACTTCTAATTATTCGTAGGCCTGTCTATTTGAACTACTGCGCTCCTAATGTAATCTGTTAAAGTTTTTTGTCAAAATAGTTTTTTTTAATTGTCAAATTGCAATCTGTGTCAAAGCGTACTCCGAAAATCCAATCTTAAAAAAAACATCATGTTGATAACATGCGAAAGATGTGTGTTAAGACGACGATGGAAAAATTGCGTCATATGTTATGTATATAAAAAATTATCACCTGTTTTATCCTTTCAATAACAGCTCGCACCAAATCTTCCGATTTCAATTCCTTTTCTCTTATCTTCCTCGCCAATGTAAGTGCACTTTCTGCCAAAAAAGCGTGTTTCTCCTCCAAATCCGGAACAACCTCCTTCTTACAGTTCCAGTATAATGAGAATATGAAATCTACAACCCTATCCAACCAAAATCGGATATAACACAATACAGTCTTCAAAGTTGAGCACGCCATTTTCGAACACTGAACTTAGACTGACGAATTCCAAGTCCACAATGAAATGAATAATTGTACAGAAGTAGGGGCACCTTTCTCTGAACAACTAAAGCATAAACACTTTCACTGAAATGAAGAAATTTTTAAGAAAAAATATTTTTTGTCGAGCGGTCAATGCACTTTAAAAAAGTTTCAACGTAAGTGGTTTCTTAGTGCTGCAAAAGTCGTTATAGCCAACAATGTAAGCGATGGATATGAATTGTTGAAAATGGTTACTCATTTTCAACAATTCAAACAACAATACATGAGTGAAAAATATAGTAAACAAGTATCTATTAAAACTACTACTAGAAATCGAGTAGCTAACTTAGTTAAATTTTGAATTTTTGAATGAGAGTTTTAAATTTTTACAACTACTGCATCATAACGTGCAACACAGACAGCCTCTGTATATGTAATTAATATGTATATAGTATTAAGTATACACTCCTTGCTTGCCAGTCTGATGCGGCAAGTGATTAGGTGAAGACTGAAAATTAGCAAATCGTTTTTGTCCACATTACTGTTTCGATAAAAAAAAGAAATCCGTTTTTTATATATTTCTTGCAAACCAACGTTTCGGGCCCTTTACAGGTCCCATGGTCACGGTTGACTCAACAAATATACGCGATTTAAAGCCGGAAAAATCACAATATGTCTGTGGGAAAAATAGTTTCATTTCCTATATCAATATTTGCTTCGTTATTTTTTTTGAATGAAGAAGTGTCATATAGGTATTGGGACAGTGTCAAAGATTGCTACATTTACCTCTATTTAGAGCAGGGATCACGAATCACTGCTTTAAATAGAAATAAATGATAAGATTTATTAAATAACCTTGATAACCATTGACTTACAAATAAATGGACGACGGGTCTAATACAAAAACTACGAAAAAAATGTCCCAAGTTAACCTATTCGAAATTTAAATTGTAATGTCATCGCAGTATCGCGCTGTCAGTAGAACAAATGAAGACTAAAGCGGAGTTTGACGCTCTGTATACGATTTTAACGCCTTACAAGTTCGGACACTTTTTAGCGCGGACCCGACGTCCATATAATTGTAAGTCAATGTTGTTAACTAAATAAATGGCCCGAGTTCGGAACAACGTCATAACACAAACCAATAACAAGTTAAACCGGTATATAACTGAACCTTTTCTTTTTCTTTCAAGAAAGCATATCGAATAAAACATATGATAATAACATACATATGTTTTTACCCTTGGCGTAACAAAGCCACTTGTGATTACACGTCATTGTTTCTTTTTTATAACACTAAATAACAGGACGAACAAGTCGTGCGCCTGATGGTAAGCGCAATGATTATCCATAACAGCTGCAGTGCCACCCAGAGCTTTCAATCGCAATGATCTTAAGTGCACTGCAGTCATCTACTCTCTGAGACATAAGTTGACAAGTCCCATGTACATGTAATTTCACCAATCCGGAACGCAGTAATGCTCACATTATTGCTTGGTGGCAGAAATAAGTAAGATGGCAGTATTTCCCTGGACGAACTCGTTCACAAGGAGCTCTACTGCTACCAAGATGATTTCTAGGAACTTCTTGATTATGTATTTTATTAAAATGTGGGTACATTAGTTTTCAGTAAAAGCGGCAGCGACGTGTAGAGAGAGTGCAATAAAGTTAACATTACGGTCCAGAAATTTTACTAATTGCCTTATTAATTATTAGCCAGACGCTTAACTGGCTAAATAGTACCGAAAATTAGGTAGAAACATTCCAAAATTTATCTAAAATTTTCATAGTTAATAACCCGAGATTCAACTTCAAGAAAAACACATAGAGAACATAATACACTGGATAAAAACAAAGTAAAATAATACACTTTCTTGGTGTAATAAGGCGACATCTACAAAATACTTAACAAGTTTTCAGGAGAGAAGTTTTTAAAGACTACGATCGAAGTTGTTCGATATCTTTTTGTGTTTCAAAAAATCTATAATTTGTTTCGTGCGGCTGGTATTATTTTGCAGATTTTCATAACAAAAGCACCTTTGACGTGTGGTCGCATGTCGTTTTTAACTCGACACTTTAGAAGCAGTAGAGCTCCTTGAGAAAGAGTTTGTCCAGGGAAGTACTACCTTACCTATTTCTGCCGCCAATCAGTACTGTGAGCATTATTGTGTTCCGGTTTTAAAGGGTACTGGTAAAATTACATGTACATGGGGCTTGTCCACTTATGTCTCAGTGTGACGGGCGCATTGACAGTGCCCCTAAGATCTTTGCGATTTAAAGTTCTGAGCGGCAATGCAACTGTTATGGATAGGCGTGTCGCTTATCACCAGGCGCACGTCTTGTTCGGCCTCGGTATTATAAAAAAAATATTAAAAAGCATTGACTTACAATATGGACGTCGGGTCCGCGCTAAAAAGTGTCCGCACTTGTAAGGCGCTAAAATCGTATACAGAGCGCCAAACTCCGCTGTAGTCTTCATTTGTTCCACTGACAGCGCGATACTACGATGACATTACAATTTAAATTTCGAATAGGTTGACTTGGGACATTTTTTTGCGTGGTTTTTGTATTAGACCCGTCGTCCATTTATTTGTAAGTCAATGTTAAAAAGCTTATATTTTTATTGAATTGATATTCAATTATTTTTATGTGAAATTACTCCACTAGTTTGTCATATTTATTAATACAAAGATCGAATACTCAGAAAAAATTCCTTTGATCCGTTGGTAGCTATAAAGGTATCTAACTGTTTGACGGAATATCATAGATGGCGCTACGGCTAAAAACCAAATACAAAGATATGGCGCAAGCACATACAAAAATTCGTGAGGTCCGTTGCTACGTCCCTTGGCTTAGTTGGTATAGCGTCTGGCACGGTATGTTAGAAGACGTTGGTTCGAATCCGGCCGGATCGAATAAGCTATAACATCTTGAAAAAGATTTATTTTTGAAGGTGCGGAAATACAATTTACAAAAAGTCGACTTTCTCAAAACTTACTCCGATCGAGATAGCGCTTTTCGGCTATCAGCAGCTTGATTTTGAATGCCTCTCCTGATCCGAATCTGCGTCTTTTCGGAGTCGAGACGCATAATTGCGATTCACAACTGGCCGATCGGAAACTTTCGACATTTGTAATCGTAACAATTGCTGACTTAACTCACAAATTAGAAAGATATAGTAGGAATCAGGTTCATCTTCTCGCTCAGAGACTACCCAATCGGACCGATTGAATCAAAATCAGGACGCAGGGCAGCACCCGACCATTGCGCCTGTCACCATGAAACATAACGTTATCAAGTCCCATTATACCGCAGTTTATAATTATAAAAGTATCTTTTTTAACGCAGTGTTTAAATCGGGTTAAAACCCATTAATGTCCAAAACTATTTACAACTAAATATTTTTTTGTAAATCGAGTTTCGTTCAAATTGAATGTTATTATTACAAAATGTTTATTGCTTTCTTATCTAGATGATTCAATTTGCCTTTCTATTTAATCGATTAAACAATTCGATTTCAATTGAAAATCGAATTAAAATAAATTGGTACAAAAATCGTTGGATCATATGAATCGATCTTCATAAAAATCGAATTGTAATGTGTAGTGAGAATCCACAAGTTTACAGGGCGGGTATAGTGTGGTAGAACTCAGATTTTTTAATCGCAAAGATCTGAGGGTTACTGCCATTGCGCCGCCACCTAGAGACATAAGTTGATAAGTCCCATGTGCCGGTAATTTCACCAAAACCCTTATCTTTCAAGACCGGAACACAGTAACGCTGACATTACTGCTTGGCGCCAGAAATAGGTAAGGTGGCAGTATTTCCCTGGACGAACTCTTTCACAAGGAGCTCTACTGCTGCTAAAATTAGTCATTGGGTAACGTCTTTTCGATATCGGTTTAGGTTGTATCTATCTATCAGTAAAGGTTTTTGATATTACTTATATTTACGGAATAATCACCTTGGGCACACTTAACGATTACACTCTGTATAGTAAGAAATAAGTAATACATTCCGTCCTTTTTCAAGTAAAAGAATGATTCTACATGTGCGACGTTTTAAATAGTTGTTTTTCAATACAAAAATAACAATATTTTCACCAATACCTTTATGACTTATTGGAAGGGAAAAACTTTAAAACCTTGACACAGCGTTTCATTAACATATTTTAATGAGTCAGCCGTGACTGCGTGACCTGTGAAGACCCCGAAACTTAATATATTTGAAAAAATAAATACACGCGATTTAGTAGTGATTTCAAAGCGAAACTTCCATATAATTTTATTTATTTAGTGTTTTCTTTCAAAAATTCGTATGTCAAGTATTTTTAATGCGCAACATAATTATCCGGAATAAGTTCGTTGGTGCGTAATAACTTGAGTAACCAGCGATTGGGTAACGGACAAATTGTTGCTAAATAAGCTTGTATGTTGCATAAAACAACGCACTTACTCCCATTTGAATACAACGTTTAATGCTAAACAAAATAAAATTGTCCAACCCTAACTTACAACTATATAGATTTAAGTAACATCGTACTAAAGTCTTTTAGCAATTATTCTTCGTTAAATTGTCTCCTATCGACCAATAATTTTCTATATTACAGTCTTGGAACCGGTTTTATGAATAATCTTAATCCAAAATCACGAATTGTAGGTAGCTATTTTCTTTAATAAAGTTTGTAAGTGCAAATACTTGCTTTAAAATCTAATCTATAAACAACATAATAGCATAGTAGCATGTATTTATAGCGATTACGTATCATGATGTAACATAAAATTTTATTTTGGCGTAAATATACCTACATTTTGCATGGAGTGCAGTGGATCATAATGAGAATTAATTGGTTATTTTTTCCGCCATTTTGTAATGTACCTGACAAGATGGCGAATATTTGTAAGACACCGGAATTTCAAAATACTACTTACAAGTCAATATTATAAAATCCGTAATTAATTAGAAGTAATTATTTAAAATAATGAAGCGTTGTGCTTCGTTGGAGTATGACCGCGTCTACTCTCTCTACGCGACGTGGGTGAACTGGCTTACGAGATCGGAAACATAATGACTAGTTGTGGCTTCGTTCATGTTGTGGTATTGGGTTGAATAATCCCATTACCCAATATGTTATTGCAACGAAGATATGCCGGCCGGTTTTTAATATTTGAAGGTCATGATTGTAAAATATTTATTTGAGGAAAGAAAATTTAAGTAGGTAGTTATTTTGATAGATAAATGCTTTGTTCACTTCTACAGCAGCAGTAGATAAAATTAAAATTTGAAATAAAATCAGCAAAATTTTAATGGAAATAACTAAATAAAAGGTACTTTTAACAGTAGGCACTATTACAAAAAACTTACACCACTCGTCCACTCAGACAAACTATTGGCTTTATTTTTTTTTAGGATAACGAAGTAATAACATTTTTCGTCCTTCGGGACACGGTATACTGCTGCCAACTAAAACGCGGCCAAGTGATAAAATGTTATTTCGAATTGTTACATGAACCATAACCCTAATTTCAGAATGTTGAAATTATTTAATGATATTTCAGCTATGCATCGTTAGTTTGTGGACGGCAGACTGTCACATCTTAGATTTTAATATTTCTGTCGTATCAATCAATTTGTATAAATTCTGTTCAAATTACAATTTCGAGCACCTAGTACCTACCTATTACGGCTATGATGAAAGTACGCCAGTAAATAGATATTTAGCGTCATACATGACTGCGTAAATAGTACTTACAGTAGAGAATGTAACAGACTCACCCATTAGGGTATGTAAATGTACAAATAAAAAAGATTTAATCCAATACCAATCAATTGACCGCATTTAAAACTAAATGCACAATGAGTTACAATTTAATGTGTTGAAAACAAGCTCCAAAGACCAATTATACTACAATGGGAAAAACGCTAAATGCTCAACATTAAACTGTACTAAATATAAATAAAGCGTCAAGCCCAAGCAAGTATGCCCTCAGTTTTGTATGAAATAATGTATTTTTCTAGACATATGGTCACGTAGAATACAATATATAGCGCTAAATTTAAAAACAATATTTTCGTTTTAATACACTGGGCTTTCACGTGATCTCAGGAATAATATTGTCTGGGTCTGTATCAGTTCACATATATTATATACATTTTGATCTGCACGGGGCCTTAGGAGGTTAAGATTAGTTGGCTACTAATATAGCAAGTAATTCATTGTTGCAATAGACCTTGGACATATAAATAACAATACAATACAAAATTTACATAATATGCATCGTTATGAGCGCCGACGCATTAATTATGCGCGTTTTGTATCATTGGCAAGCATCATAAATCAATTTATTTAATTAGATTGTTCTTAAATTTTATATAACAAAGCGCCTGGTGGTAGAGTCTGTATTAAAAAAATAGCTTAGTAGATTGCTATTTTTTAATTGTAGGCGTGGGGATATACGATGAAAAAAAAATTGAGATCAAAACAGCTAGTTTCAAAATGGCTACCGTAGAAAATTAAACTATTGAAAAGTCTGTCCCGGATGACGAAAATTTTTATTACTGAAAACGACTGTACAGAACACGGATTTCCGTAGGTAAGCTTAAGGTAACAAGAAAATGATAAAAATATGAATTAAATCAAGTTACGTTAATTGTAATCCCAAAACAACAACTTTATTATTTATATAACGCCAGTACCATGATATTTTTAATGAAGGACTTCATGTGGGTAGGATTCAAGTCGTAAGTAGATCAAGTTGACCGCTGGTTCGCTGATACCGTTTTACCGCCAAAATGTTAAGTGCTTTTCTGTCTATGACTGCGTTCTGTTAATTTCAATTAAAATTGTTTTGTAATTCAAGATTATTCTAGATCACCAACCTGACTCTTAAGAAATATTATCACAATTCCATAATATATTAAAAAAATATAAACTAAATAGAAATGAAGAAAGTTAATTTCGGGTTTAAAATAATTTTTCGATCAACATTTCGAGAACGCGTCCATCAGACGACCTTGAATGACATTGAATTGACAGGTGATTACAAAGTTTCCTACACAGGGTCGTTCGTATCGCGACCTCAGCTGATAATTTAGTTTTATTTATGTTATGTTACAAGAATAACGTCTCGAAAATATCTTAGTTAACCGACCAAGAAGATCTTTTATTCATAAAAAATGCCAAGTACGGTCGTAGTCAATACAACGCCTTACGAAGGCCAAAAGCCGGGAACAAGTGGTTTACGTAAAAAAGTTAAAGTTTTTCTTCAAGAAAACTATACGGAAAACTTCATTCAGAGCATTTTGGACGCTAATAAAGACTCCATAGTCGGTTCTACTTTGGTGGTAGGCGGCGACGGCCGATATTTACTGAAGGAGGTAGTGCAGAAAATAATTAAAATCTCGGCCGCTAATGGAGTAAGTTCACATTTTACAAGTATAAATAACTTATTCTTGTGTTCATAGTGACTTGGAACTGTAGTTTTGGACTACAGTTCCAAGTTACAGAGATCTTATCATTTGGTTTGTACTTTGTCCCTATAGTTAAATTTGAAATAGTTATTAACTTTGGCGAATGACCTTCGTTTTTTACTTTTATCTGTCATAAGTAAATACATAATTACCTCAGATATGTAACAAAAACGTCTGACACGTCAATGATGTAAGTGTTAATTGTCAGGGTACATTTAAATCCATGTTCTTAATATCAGAGTATTTTATAAAAATGAATATCAGATAAATTAATTTAAAGTGCACTTTTAATAAAGTGAAACAATTGAAAGAGCGCTGTAATTTTATGGCAATAGTTTTGATTTTTATCACATAATGCATTGACTTACAATTATATGGACGTCGGGTCCGCGCTAAAAAGTGTCCGAACTTACAGGGTGTTAAAATCGTATACAGAGCGTCATTCACGCTTTAGTCCTCGTTTGTTTCTTCTGACAGCGAAGCAAGCAAAATTAGACAGTACTGCGATGACATTACAATTTAAATTCAACGTTTTAGCTTTTTCATATTCCTTTACATGTCACTATGTTTAAATAGGTTGAATTGGGACATTTTTTTCGTGGTTTTTGTATTAGACCCGTCGTCCATTTATTTGTAAGTCAATGACATAATGGTAATAATAATCTGCCAGATAACCCATACATATTACCAGTTTCCTGTACTATGAGTACCAGAGCAACATAATTAATTCCTGGACACAACTTGGAACACCCAGACCGGAATAATCTAGAAAAGTTAATTTCCCCAAATTGGTCAAACCAGGAACCAAACCCGTGCCTTCTCAACTGGCACCCACATTGCAAATTGTTTGGCCATTGTGGTTGTCAAAGCGGGCAGCTATTTCTAAGTTCCGTACCTGAGACCTGAGAATAATTACACTGTAAATGCTATTTTTGTAATTTTACAGGGGACGCGATTTTGTGTCGAAAATGTGTAATGCTTCTCAGGTACAGAGTTGTTGTCACCATATTACATCTCTAAGTTTTTACCTCAAAGCTACATATTCATTTTATTGCTAGGTTTGGTATAAACTGAAAACATCTTTAGATTATTTTGAAACTGATTGTAGGCAAATTGTCATAATTCTCTATTAGATATTGAACTTTATGCCCTTTGCAATAATTCACCAGATGATTACTACAAGTTACAGGTGTCTTACCATGGTTTTCTAACTTCAACTGCCTCTGTGGTCGAACAGTGACCTTGGTGGTCTGCCATGCAGAGATATATTTATGAATCCTGAGCCGGGACAAATATTTGTATGGCCTACATTTATTTATCTCGGAGTTTGAATATAATTTGTAGTTGACTGTGTCCAATCTGTGATCAATGGCACCCAGAGCGACACAGGGTTTCCCCAGTGTGAGGCTATCAGTGTGTGCACATTGTCATTTTATTATTCTCTTATAATTTTCCGTATATCTCAATTAACCTGTTACACATCTACATACAATTGTTAGAGACACATGGTTTACATTATGATACTATACTGTTCCAAAGCCACACAGAGTCTTTAACTCAAAGCTGTGTTTTTGAAGTTGGTTAAAAATTACTTACTCTGTGCAGACAAAGTCTATAAGTATACATTTATAATAACTTTTTGTTACACAGGTAGCAAAGTTATTGGTTGGCCAGCATGGTATACTGTCAACACCAGCTGTGTCCTGCATCATCAGAAAATATAAAACTCTCGGTAAGTTTCTTTTGAAATGAATATAGAATTGAGGCGCTGCACAGAAGGAGCAGTCTGACCCTGAACTGAGCTGACCCTACCTATCACCCTCTTGGTTATGCGGGAAGGGCACCATAACCTGTGCAAGCACAGGGACAGACCATTGTCATTTGTTACGGACTCATCGGTTCTCAAGAAGTTAGTGTCTTGGGCCCAGGTGCATGTACAGTGGAGGTGTTGGCACACTCACTTTCCATTGTGTATTGCCCAACTAGTGTTTGCCTACTAACTAACCACTAAGCCGTTGCTCTAAAGTCAGAGCTTTCGGCACGTTCACCTCTCGACGCCGAAGCGTCTCTCCAGTTCAGAGAAACCTACGCGACTGCAGAGACCGGAAAATGTAGTTCTCCATGCTAGCACCGGAGATGTGGGTTGGAGTGTCTTCTGGCAATGTCCGGACATAGCTTCCGACTTAAAGGGCAACTCACGTGCGCAGGAGCAATTTATCTTTAATATCTATAGTATAAATCTATAACAAACTCCCAGAGTATTTAAAATCAGAATCAAATGTAAACTAATTTACAAATGCATGGAAAACACTATTAATTTCTAAAAGTTATTACTATGTGAAAGAGTATTTCCAACATGAATTATAATTAACGTCTGTCCCTCTCCCTTTCCATATTGCAATGCCTGTCAAGGTACATGTGTTTGTTAGTGTATAAGTATATTCATAAGTATATTTTTATAACGACAACACATGTAAAGTACTTATAAATAAATAAATTTCAGCTGAAGCAATAGTCAAGTTTTTACAATTTTCTATTAATGGTTGCTGGTTGCAGCAACAAAAGGCTCAGTGTACGGTTCTCGCGATTCAACACTGACGAGCAAGAGCAACATTGACGCCGTGGGGGATGGGGAGGCAGTCGGTCAATGATATGATCTGTTTATTTTAACCGAATTAAAAAAAAAGGAGGAGGTTCTCAATTCGACTGTATTTTTTTGTGTGTATGTTACGCGATAACTCCGGTATTTGTGAACCGATTTTCATGATTCTTATTTTGTTTGAAAGTACCCATCCAAAGTGGTCCTATTCTGAAGAAAATCATCCACCGCTAAGGGTGGCTATTCACGCATGAAGATTCATTTTTATAAATAGCGCCTAAATTTTATTATAAGGATCAATTATTTTAATGGTTGATTTTGTTATTCTCCAATTTAAGGCGTTTTTCTCTCATATTTTGAGTAGTGAGAACCGATTTTTATTATCTCCTGTGTCATGTTCCGTATAGTGGCGAACTAGGAGATGAATCCGGGTTTGAGCATTTTTCGGTAACCGATTTTAATAAAACTTGGCAAATTGAGGTAATTCCACGTACTTTTGATGTCGGTTTTTTTTAATACCCTATACTGAGATTATATATTTTTATTTTATTTAAACAACGATTTATTCGATCACGACGTTTAGTGCCATGATATTCAATTGTTCTTTCATGAATTTGGGTGTAATTCGTGGTTGTCTATGTGTGTGTCCATGGCACCCGCGACACAGCGTTTCCCTAGTGCGGGGCTATGTTGAGTGTGTGCGTTATTATCATTATTATGTGTAACGATCGCAATTATATATATTTACAATAAATAAATAATAAAGTTGAATAATTTATTCATCTATGCACAGGTGGCATCGTCCTCACGGCGTCGCATAACCCGGGCGGCATCAACAACGACTTTGGCATCAAGTTCAATTGCAGTAACGGCGGTCCAGCACCCGACAATACCACCAATGAGATTTACAAGCTGACCACTGAGATTAAACAGTACAAGATCGTGCCTGATATTGACTGCCCTATTGATAAACTTGGCGTTTACGATTTCACTGTAAGTTGTAATATTCTTTAAATTTTCGTAGCAGTTGAGCTCCCTGTAAGGGACTCGCACAAAGTTACGCGATAAGTGCCTACCGTGGAGTGCGCCGACGTCGGCGCAAGCGCTCCTACAAGTCTTTCATTTATGAGCATTCGGTTCCGCACGACTGCACACGGCGGGCAACGTTATTTTCACCTCTCTGAGTGGGTGCTTAGGTTCCTTTGCCCTCGTAGTGAGCGCCAGGTGTCATTAGTAAGATTTAGTAGGCTATTATAGCGTAGGTATTTGTTACGTAGTAGATGTATCTGTTGTGTAGTAACTATTAAGTAATCTATGTCCCTGTGAAAGATTTCGTCCAAGAAAGTACTGCTACCTTACCTATTTCTGCCGCCAAATAGTAATGCGAGCAAAGGGTAATGGTGCAGAGGAAATTACAGACATATGAGACTTGTCAACTTATGCCTCGAGTGTTGGGTGTTCCTCAGATGTTTGCGATTTTAAATCTCTGACTGGTACTGCGACTGCTTTGGACAGACGTGACGCTTAACACCAGGCGCATGACTCGTTCGTCTCGTGAAACAGCAATAAACAAATGAAGTATATTTTCTTAGGTTTGTAGGTCAAGTTTCTCTGGTTCTTCCTCCCGCCTTATTGTTCAGGTTGGCTAAGCTTATTTCCCACCTGCCGTGTCAAATCTTTGACGGACTCAACATTCGATTTTTTTGGTATCGGTCTAACAATAGCGGTTTTCCATTTCTTAGGGAACTGTCCTGATTTAATTGACGTGTTTATTATACTTGTTATCGCAACCAATGAGTATGGCAAAGTAAAGCGAATCATTTTCATCGATATTCCATCATTACCAGTGGCGTTAGAAGATATCGAATTAACATTCTTTAAGACTTCATCAGGTGTGCATTCAGTAAAATTAAAACTGCTTTCTGTTACGACTGGAATGTCACCTTTAGGAAGAGAGTGAATGTTCGGAACCGAATCTATAAAATATTTGTTTATTAAATGTGGATCACTTAGGTGTAACGGTAAGTGCATTTCGATTAGAACTTCCAAGAACCTTATTTATTTCTCCCCATAGCTGACGTGGTTTATGAATATTATTATTGATACGATGAGAAAAATAGTGTTGTTTCTCGCTACGAATCATTCGTAACGGTATTTCGCAAAAATTTGTAAAAATTGTTATTTTCCGCGCAGGGAGATGTTTTTGCTCGCAAACACGCCTTATCCCTATCCACCATCACGGCTTTTATGCTACCTGTAATCCATGGTGTTGGAGGAGCACGGAATGCTCTTGTACGCTCAGGAACATAATGATTGAACAGCCCTAGTATTAGATACTCAAAACATTCTACCATAATCGTCTACATCACTACACTCTAAGACCAAGTCCCAGGGCGTGATGGATGAGGCATAGTTATAAGTCTCTATGTCAAAATCAAATGGTCTATATGTTACAGTTCTGAGTGGAGGTTTTTGGGTTTGGATTGGAAATTTTGCTGAAATGTATGCGTGATCACTTAAATCATCATTGTGTTTGACAATAATATTTTTAGCTTTGAGAGATTTACCGCTGCAAATGACATCCAGTAATGACTTCGTAGTTTCAGTAACACGAGTAGCTTCAGTAACGATTAGATATAGTTCATGTTCATTTAGAAGTTCAAAAAATATATCTTTTTGGTATCCCGCAGAAGTCAGAAGGTTAACGTTGACATCTCCTGTTAAAAATACGTGATCAAATTGCGGTGTCAATGTAGAAAGCGTGTCATTAAGTTGCTCTATACAATGACTATAGTTGAATGTTGGAGGGCGATAGAACACACATATTGCAAGTTTTAGTTTACCGACTTTAACTTCGATACTTAACAGCTCAAGGTCGCCAGATGATAAGGCTATATTGCGGCAACGCAAACCATTTTTTACGTAAAATCCTAAGCTTTCGACCGGTACCACGTGGTTTGTGTATTAACCTATATCCTGTTACATTATAATATTTCGTGTCAGAATTTTCGTTAAGTCGTGTTTCTGTAAGTGCCAGGACGTCAGGACAATTAATCTCAATAGTGCGTGTCAATTCATCTCTACCTGTATTTAGAGATTCTTTCCATCTATCTAGCAATTAAACTAACATCTAATCATCATGCCCATAAATGGCATGTATAATCGATTATGGCGAGGTATTTCAACAAGAACACGCTGAAAATTAATATGAATAAAATAACAAGCGGAGAAAATTTGACACAGATCCGACGTCGACAAGCAGCCGATGGTGACTGACGGGGTAGTGGGCGGCGCGGCGTATCGTTAAATCACAAAACATCCTCAATTTTCAAATTTTGGAATAAATGTGAATTTAATTACCTGAAAAATTTTGCGGGTACAGACAAATATCTCCATATACATGTAATTTTGCACATAATTTTTGTGCAAAATTACATATTTTATTCTTAAATAATTCGTTATACACTTTTATTTTACCCTGCTTTTAGGATTTTTTATGACCGGGTGGTGATTTTAAATTTGTATTCAATTGATATTCAATTGTTTTATGTGAAATTACTCCACTAGTTTGTTATAATTATTAATACAAAGATCGAACACTCAGAAAAAATTCCTTCGATCCGGCCGGATTCGAACCGACTAAATTTAAATGGAACCACTTCCGAGGTACCCTCTTCCCTACAAAAAAAGAATCATCAAAATCGGTTCACAAATTTTGTTTTATTTATTTAAAAAAACATACGGTCAAAATGAAAACTTCCCCTTTTTTTTGAAGTCCGTTAAAAATTGGGTATGAATAAATCGCGTTCTGTGTAATATGAATAAGTTTAAAAATATGTCTTAATTTCTTCCACAGGTTGACGACCGCACGTTTACAGTGGTAATAATAGACTCTGTTAATGACTATGTCACCTATATGAAGGAGATCTTTGAATTTCCCAAGATCAAAGCTCTTATTCAGGGCTCGGATCAGAGAAAACCTTTTAATGTTCTTATAGATTCTATGCATGGAGGTGAGTTTTCTCCAAAATTTATATTATTCTGTTTTATGTAAGAAGTATTAATATAACAACAAAAATTAATGTCTTGTTGATAGAAACACGTCTCTGAAGTAATTTTTGTGAAGCCTTCTTCAATATTTAAATATAAATAAGAGGTGTTCTACAAGGCTGCTGCCTGAAACCCAAATCTAAAATAATCTAAGGGAAATTAGGTTAGTATTGCACAAAGTAAGCGCATTGTTTAGGTTGAATTCACAGTTCAAATAGAAAATAGAGCTATACCTCTTTCTAGCTAGATAAATCGTAAGAGTTAAAAATAATAAGAGTACCACAGGGTAGTGTTATTTTTTCCCTATTCATACAAATACTCTTGTTAATATATTTCAGTAACTGGGCCATATGTAAAACGGATATTCCTCGAAGAGCTAGGCGCTACCGAAAGCAACGTATCCCGTATAAATCCGCTGGAAGACTTCGGCGGGGCACATCCCGATCCCAATCTTACTTACGCCGCTGATTTGGTAAACGCAGTCAAGAAAGGTGATTTCGATTTTGGCGCTGCTTTTGACGGCGATGGTAAGTCAATTATATTGTCTGTTTAAAGGTAAAAACCACATAAGTAACATTTCTACATAAAGTCTTTATATACCTGTATATATAAAAGCTATAAACTCAATAAGTGGTTTTATCTATATATATTTTCGTTATTGCAGTAAAAAAACGGCGACCTCGGCGGAGGTACCGGGTTCGATTCCCGGTAGCACCGCTTTGGAAACGTAAATCTACTTTTTCTAAATTGGTTCTGGTCTGTATATTCCGGGTAGTACCAGAGTAACGGACTTCCTCAGGGTGAGGGTTTCAAACCAAATGGTTGGTGTCTTTTTTTGGATTATTATTGTTATATATTGTTTACTCAATCTTGTAGTTACAAATTTACATCGAATTAAATAATACTATGATACAAATATGACGTCATAATTTAAAAATTATTCGTGCTAGGTGACCGCAACATGATAATCGGTCGCGACGCGTTTTTCGTGACGCCATCGGACTCTCTCGCGGTTCTGGCCAACAACCTGCACCACATACCGTACTTCCAGAGGACAGGGATCCACGGCTATGCACGAAGCATGCCAACCGCGGCTGCTGTTGATAGAGTCGCTAAGAAGAACGGGAAGGAGATCTTTGAAGTTCCTACTGGTAAGTGTGTTTGCTTAGCTAGGAAAACAATGGCCTTCCGTTCAGAACTCTCCGTTCAAAATTCGAGACCTCTTTTTTTAAATTTTATTTAGGGTGGAAATACTTCGGCAACCTGATGGACGCGGGTCGCCTTTCCCTTTGTGGGGAAGAAAGCTTCGGCACAGGTTCGGACCACGTCAGGGAGAAGGATGGGGTTTGGGCCGTGCTGGCCTGGCTGTCTGTTGTCGCCGCTACTGGCCGGTCCGTTCAGGAGATCTTAGAGCAACACTGGCAGGAGTTTGGCAGGAATTACTTTACCAGGTAAGACACTTATCGAGATTAGAATTTTTTACTAGTGCAATTACGTTAACAGTTATTGAAGTTATTATTTACTTAACTGAAACTTTATAACCTTTTCTGAATTAGTAATAAAATAAAGGCCGATCCCTATTTATCAGCATTCGTTATGAAAGCAAAAAAAAACTTTATAAGATTGCTCCTTTATAACACAAACAAGCCGTGCACTTAAATCGCAAAGACCCGAGTAGCACTACCACAGCATGCGTCACCCTGAGACAAAGTTGACAAGACCCAAGTGCCTTTATTGTATTTCATCAGCACCCTTGCCTCTCAAAACCGGAACGCAGAAAATTTCACGTTACTGCTTGGCGGCAGAAATATGTATGGTGACAGTACTTCCCTGATCGATCTCTATCACAAGAAGCTCTATTAGTAAATGACAATTATTTCGAAAAAGTAAACGCCCCCTAATAATTATAACTGCATCACTTGGACATACACGAAATTAAGGAAGAAGTATTGAATAACAAAAACAGATGGCGCTTAGCTTTTCATTCATTCATTAGAGGGACCAAATATAAAAATGGTGTAAATTATTATTATTAATACAAAGATCGAATACTCAGAAAAAAATCCTTCGATCCGGCCAGATTCGAACCGACGTCTTCTGGCATACCGTGCCAGACGCTATACCAACTAAGCCACGGAACGAACCAGCGGACCTCACAAATTTTTCTATGTTTGCGTCGTATCTTTGTATTTGGGCGACGAAATATCATAGATTTCTCATATATCTATGAGAATATCTCAAATATCATAGATTTCTCATATATCTATGAGAAATCTATGATATTTCGTCGCCCAGTTAGATACCTTTACAGTTACCAGCCCCGGCTAGAGATGTCGCTATTCATTGTATTTACATTTTTATTCAATTGATATTCAATTATTTTTATGTGAAATTACGCCAGTAGTTTGTTATAATTATTAATACAAAGATCGAACACGAACAAAAATCAGAAAGAAAAAGAGAAGACGTCGGTTCGAATCCGGCCGGATCGAAGGAATTTTTTCTGAGTTTTGTCTGAGTGAGTTTCTGAGAACCAGCACCTTCAGGCAATACGTGCTCTGGGACGGATTGCCCGAGGGTGCTGGTTCTTACGAATTTTTCTATGTGCTTGTTGTAGATCGTTGTTTTTGGGTTTTTAACGCCTTTTTTGCCGTAGCGCCATCTGTGACAAATTTATTTCTTCATTGCATTTATTTATTTCGGTATCGCTGTAATTGTAATTTTTAAGTTTATTGAATGTGGGGATGTTTTGCGCCCATGATATTCAATTATTTATGTGTAAATTGTAAAGGGTGTAAATTGTTCTGTTATTAAAGAAAGTTAAGGTAGTCGGCACAAGTTGCTGACAAGCTTTTAAAGCATAGAATTTTTTAAAGTTACATACATTTGAACATTGATTTTCGTCAAAGTAAAAAATCAGAAAACCTGTCTATGTTACAGGTATGATTATGAAGAATGCGCTAGCGCCCCGTGCAACGAGATGATGACGTACCTCGAGAAGAAGATCACAGAAACGGGCTTCGTCGGCTCTGTGCATACTAGTGGCGGGAAGACATACGTTGTTAAACTTGCTGATAACTTCTCGTACATGGACCCCATTGACCAGAGTGTTGCTATGAAACAGGTACTGAATATGGCCTCTTAACAAGCTACTAAAATATCTTTAAAGATTTTTTGATAATTTTATGTCAATTGTGTAATGTACAAACTACGAGTAGATAGGAGCCAAGAAACAGGACCCCAATCTGGCTAATTTTAAATCACCTCAGAATCCAATCCGGCTAATTTTAAATTACCTCAGAGCCTCAATCCTACTAGTTTTAAATCACCGCAGGACCCCAATTCTGCTAATTTTAAATCACTTCAGGACCCCAATTCTGTCAATTTTAAATCACCTTAAGGCCCCAGTTCTGGTAATTTTAAATCACCTCAGGGCCCAAATTGTGCTCATTTTCTTGAAACCACTAGTCATTGTAATTCCATTTTTACGTCTTCTCTGTCACTTAACTCGTCACTTAAAAATATTGACTTTTTAATTTTGATAGAGATGTTAACATTGATAATAGATATATATTATACATACAGTTGATACTAGCTGACGATTTTGGCTCATTTTCCGATGAGTCTTTTTTAGTTTTTCTTCATAGTTTACTATTTAACTACGGGTTGCCATTGTGATAATATAAAATATTACTTATTATTTATATGAAACTCTATTTTGCTTAAATAAACGTTAACTGTTCTATATAGAACTGAAAAATAAAAATTGAATATCCCTAGATATTAATAGTATTATATTATAAGATTAATATCAAAATATTTTTTTATGTAATATTAAATTTGCTATTAGTAGTAAAACATTGTGATAACATCAACACAAGTGCAGCTTGTGCTGTTCGTCGAGTAGCTAATTATTATAATTGTCTTTCATTTTTAACCGACTTCTAACAAAGGAGAAGGTTCTCAATTCGATTGTATTTTTTTGTGTAGAGTCATACACACAGCATACTTGACCCCCTAGCTGACTTTGTCGATCTTTTGGTTCTGAGCACAAATATGTGGAGAAAATTGTTAAACAAACTTAATCTTTAACCTGTGAGCCGTAAATTTTTTTTTGGTATGACTCCTTGGTCGTCTCATTAGTGAATGACATTTTAATAAAGTTTTAAAGCCAATTTGATCTTTGACGTATAGTTCTTATTGAATACAGAATACAAATTTGCATCAGCTATAGCAAGGCCGTCGTGGTCTAGCGGTATAAGGATTGCTTTGCAAGTTGAGGCAAGCATGGCTCGAGTCACACTAAAAATAAAATATTATTTAGCTATGACAATGTAATATTGTATTTTTTTTGTTTTTAAACTCGCGGATAGGTGTAAGGAATCTTGTTCGGAGTAACACCTGAATGTATTTTATTTATTTATTAACCTATATTATACCGGCAATTGAATTATATTGACAATTATATTAATAAATTATTAATCTGTAACATCAGCGCATCCTGAAGAATCATAGGTCTCCCCCAGCTCAATCCATCTGGCTCTGTCCCTTGTCGGCCAAGTCCATAGAGGTCCAGCTACTTTTTTAAAATCATCGGACCATCTTATAAAGGGACGACCTCTGTTCCTCTTGTCATTTTCTCTTGGTAACTATTCTGTTCCACTTTTCTACTCTTTCCTTGTACATGTGGCCAGTCCACTTCCACTTTAGCGTTTTACTTTTTGACATCCTCCAATTTAGTAGTCCTCCGTATGTCTGTATTTCTCTTTTTGTCTCTTAGAGAGAATCACTGAATGTATTAATTTCTCATAACTTTCTTCTATAATGTTGATTTGTTATGTTTTTATAACAGGGCCTGCGTATCATTTTCGAAGATGGTTCCAGGATTGTAATGCGTCTGAGTGGCACCGGGAGCTCTGGAGCAACAGTCAGGTAATACAATTGCCATTAAAGAATTGTGATGAAAACTGCAAGTTGAGAGTAAACAGTCTGAAAGTATAGTAGAAACTACACAGGTCTCCCCCAAAGATGGCCACAACGACATGTATGCTCGCATGCAGTGGATTCCCGCAACGCTGTAAATAAAATGTGGCAGTAAAAGCAGTAAAGCTCCTTGTGAAAAAGTTCGTCCAGGGAAGTACTGCCACCTTACCTATTTCTGCCACCAAGCAGTAATGTCAGCATTACTGTGTTCCGGTTTTGAAGGGTAAGGGTGCTGGCGAAATTACAGGCACATGAGACTTCTCAACTTATGTCTCATATATATATGGGTGACGGGCGCAGTGGCAGTGCCCCTTAGATCTTTGCGATTTGAAGCTCTGAGTGACATTGCAACTGTTATGGACAGGCGTGTAGCTTCCCATCACTTCACGTCACTTGATATTATATAAAAATCACACTTGTCAATGCACACAAAAACTTTAACAAACTTAATAAAAATCAACTTTATCTAATATCTGTAAGACGTTTAATTGTAGCTGGATTACGTTTAAAAACCATTAAATATTTCTTTGCAGACATCGACTTATACGAAGACTTAATTAAAATAAAGTTTATCTAAATTTTTATTAGACGTTTAAATTATAGCTGGATTAGGTTTCAAAAATTTTAAATTCGACTCCTCGTACGTAAAGTATCGTATGTCGAAATTGCCAAGTTTACAGGGGAGCCTTTTAAAGTTCTAAATTCATTGAAATAAGCATAACACGTGACTTTAGCCTTTCTCAGTTTTATTCGGCAAAACTCGTTACTCACATAGAGTATTATAAAATTCTAGATATCGGTTAGATGATCACTCTATGTGAGTAACGAGGAATTCAGAACTTTAAAACGGTCCCCTGTAAACTTGGCAATTTCGACATACGATACTTTACGTAGGCGGGGTCGAATAATTGTGCTTTCTTCTTCTTATTTAAGAGCTAGTCTCTTGTCGGTGGTGTAATCGCCATCCATCTCTGTTTAGCGTTTTAGCCTTGATTTCCTGTTACGATACGACATTAATTTTTTCCTTTATCTGATCTAAGTAACTTCGTCTCGGTCTTCCTCTGCCTCTCTTTCCTTCGATCGTCCCTTCTATTATGTTTCTAAGAAAACTGTCGTGACGCATCAGACGACCAAACATTTTCCCCCTTCGGTTCTTTATTGTCTTTAATAAGTTTCTCCTTTCACACTATTCTTAACACCTCTTTGGTCTTTATTTCCGTCCAACTGATTCCCTCCATTCTCCTCCAGCACCACATCTCAAATGCCTCCAATCGTTCTCTGTCTCTCTGTGTTATTGCCTTACTATTTTTCGTATCTTTGCCTTCTAAGATATTTGGTGTGACGGTAAAATATTGAGTTCTTAGGTTTCCGCGAGTCAACCATGTCCATGGGACCTGTAAAGGGCCCGAAACGTTAGTCTGTTTGAAAAACAAATATACGCGATTTAAATCCGGAAAAATAGTATCATTGCAGACTATATACATCGACTCTTACGTAGATTTAATTAAAATCAACTTTATATCAATGTCTATAAGACGTTTAATTGTAGCTGGATTAGGTTTGAAAACTATTAAATGTGCGTCTTACTATTTTTTGTTTCTTTGCCTAATAAGATATTTGATGCTGACGGTTAAAATATTTCTTTGCAGATTATACATCGACTCATACGAAGCAAGCAACGTGACGGGCGATGCCCAAGTAATGCTCAAACCCCTCATCGATGTTGCTCTGGACATCTCCAAGCTCCAGGCATATACAGGCAGGGACGCGCCCACTGTTATCACGTAAAACTGTTTAGTTCAAAGTCTACTTATACAGGGTGAAACAAAAACATTTGGCAAACACTTTAGGTGTCGGGGTCGATTCAAACCACGTTTACACCGCCCTTAAGTATTCAAATAAAAATATTGGTACTTTGAATCTTATATACTTTGTTTTTTTAGCATTAAATAGAAGGAAATTTTAAGTATTTTAATAAGTATATGGCCTAAACCACTTTGTAAGCTTCAAACAAAAAAGTGTGTACATAAGCAAGCTTATTAAATAAAGTACAACGTTTTAACGTTTTTAATTTAAAAAGAAGTTTTTCCATTTTATTTTTCTTTCTAACTTTATACTCAATCTATTCAAAAATCCGTTACAAATTAGGAACGAAACCATTATATATAGTTTTAAGTAATTAAGTTCATAAGTTGTCACTTCCGTATGTGCTCCGTAATTTTTCTTATTAACAGTTTTATTTCTTAAACCTCTTACAGTGCTAAAATATCAACAAGACTACAAAAAACTTAAAGAAACCGAGGTTCTAAACACTTCATTTTATAAAATAATAACATATTATTGTGTCATTAGTCGTCAATCCTCACGATGTTTCCTTTTATTGTAATTTGTTTTCTAATGAAAAAGGTTTAGAATCACTGCTTCTTTGTTTACGCTTTTCTAATTTTATTCTAAAATAAAATACGAAGTATATATGATTAATTAAATTTTTATTGAATTGATATTCAATAATTTTTTGTGAAATTACTCCACTAGATTGTTATAATTATTAATACAAAGATCGAACACTCAGAAAAAATTCCTTCGATCCGGTCGGATTCGAACCGACGTCTTTTTGCATACCGTGTCAGATGCTATACCAATTAAGCCCCGGAACGAACCAACGGACCTCACGAATTCTTCTATGTGCTTGCGCCGTGTCTTTGTATTTGGTTTTCCAACGACTTTTTAGTCGTAGCGCCATCTATGAGAAATCTATGACAGATTTATCACCCAGTTAGTACCTTTACAGCTACCAGTCCTGGCGAGAGATGTCGCTATTCACTGTATTAATTAATCTTTATATTAATTAATTTTTGTATTAATAATCATAACAAACTAGTGGAGTAATTTCACAAAAAATAATTGAATATGAATTCAATAAAAATTTTAAATGAAGTTTAGCAATTTTTGACAAATGAGTTTGGTTTCACCTTGTACAAATAGACCGCGTTTCCAATCGAAAAACTTGCATGCAAATATCCTCCCTCTCAACATGCATCGTAACCGCGGAATAAACAAACTAATGGAAATGGTGTTAAACGGGTGTAGTACCAAAGAAGTTGCACACAGCATTTGGCGACAACTTCTTGTAAACTTAATCTTCCACACCAAGTTATACAAAACGAATTTTGCCGAATATTGTTTTTTTAATTTCACAATGTTTTACCGTCATGTTATTTAGTCGATCTGTAGCTCAGTTGGCAGAGTGACGCTACGGTACGGCGTGGTTACAGGTCTTGTCGGGTCGACGGAATTTTTCCTATAGTTCGATCTTTGTATTAATAATTAGAAATTTACCTAAGTTTAAGCAAGAAGAATTTCACAGATTTCAAACGGCAAAAAAATCATTAAAAAAATCAGAAACAAATATCTGCAACAAGCACATAGAAAAATGCGTTAAGTCTCTTTTCTGGTTCGTTTCGTAGCTTAGTTGGGAAAGCCCGGTATGCTGAAGACGCTGGGTCGAATCCAGCCGGATCGAATCCAGCGGGATCGAATTAATTTTTCTCTGTGTTCGATTTTGTATTAATAATTTAAACAAGAAATTAAGAAATAAACTCAAAATTTAATTTAACGCCTTGCTTAAACTTGCGTAAAGATCGTTTTATAAATCGCGTCCCAAGAACATAGTCATAATTGGAAACAATAATTTTATTAAACGAAATTATAACTAACATTAAAACTGATACTACATTCTTATTGTATAAACTTGCAATGTGAACTTGCTTTTGGAGTTCCGTTACTCAACACTAGATGGCACTATATTTAGTAGTTCTTACATAAATTTACATTTTAATGTTAGAAATCCTGTTTATACCTATGGGACCTTTGACGCACGGTTTTGTTCTATAAAATATAACTGGCTTTTATTGAACGCCCATTTCTGCCTCCACTAGTTTATTTATTACGTGGTTGTAAGGTACTAATTTTAATCGTAAATAGTTGTTTACATAGTTATTGGTGATGTAAATAATTAAATTTAATCAAATTTGTAACTTACGTGCGTTAGTGGTGTAAGGGAGGATATGACGTCATTCTGGAAACGTCACTTAATTTAAGGCGTAATAATTCGAGGGGTCCGAGGCCAAACTCAATAAGTATTTAAATTTAATTTTATCTAACTCATTATAGTGTAGATGGTATGATGGAATACAATATTTATAAGTGTAACGCACAAACGATTTCCTTACAATCCCAGTATATTACTATTATATATATATTAGTATTGGAAAAGTGTATTAAAACTAATAATCAATAGGAATATATAGATGTTCCACATATATTCCAGATTTTCGGAAATGGTTTTACTGCATCGTAGGACAAATTACTGACCTAGGAAGTCGAAGTTGAGTTTTAAAGTAATTCTAATGATGCCATGTGAAATAATGCAGTAGATAACCGACCTTGTTGCTGTTCCGTCAATGTGACTGTCAATATGCGGGGCGCGGTGCGGGATCTAAAGTTAGGGAGGGGCGGAGAGTGACCGTTCTTGTTACTTTTTATTCTCTGCTTTGGTAAAAAGACTGACCTTCTATCTACTGCATTTTTTTACATTGCACCATTAGAATTACTTTAAAATCCAACTTCGACTTCCTAGTTCTGTAACTGCCTCTGTGGCCGAACGGTTACCATGCCGGACTGCCACGCAGAGGTCCCAGGTTCGATTCCCGGGCCGGGAGAAATATTTGTATGACCTACATTTGTTTCTCTCGTGAGTTTGGGTGTAAATTGTGGTTGTCTATATGTGTGTCCATGGCACCCGCGACACAGGGTTTCCCTAGTGCGGTGCTATGTTGAGTGTGTGTGTTATTATATTATTATTATTATTATAGTTCGGTAGATTTGTCTTACGATGCAGTAAAAGAATTTCCAGAAATGGCTTTACTGAGTAATTAATTAATATTTGGTGGTTTTAACAACTCTATTTCGCTTCTTGTAGCTATATCTATACATGTATTTATATATGTGGATCACCTTTTTCCGAGCATAGGTAATAATGAGTTACATAATAACATGAAAATTCACTCGTAATATTGGGTTTTGCCTTGGAACCATATGGTTTGATTAATGCCATTTCAAAGGAGTGTTCGAAGTTAATAAGATGTATGTGTCTGTTGAAAAATATACGTTATTTTTTAATAAAAATAAAGACTTCAAAAGTTTGTTTATCCAGTTCCTCTGTGTTCCTTTAGGAGGTTTCAACGACGATGAAATACCTAGTTAAAACTAATCATACGAGCTGCACATTGTTCAGGAGTTTCTCTCATAGTCTGTCATTTTCGTCATTAGATCAGATCTAGGTCACCGTAACATTATACTATTCTAACATGTATTTGGAAAATATTACTGGAGAGCAATTTAATATTTTTTTAAGGAGGGTTTTTTCTTAATTAGCTAATGTCACCCCCATAATGACAGGCTCCTTATACATCATCTACGGTCTTCGCTTAATTCCCACATCGACTAAGCTATATAACAATTTTGCTTCCTTTGATCTAGGGAAAGATAAGAAAATTTACATACACCCAAATCTGCCAAATTGTAATCCAAACTATAAGAGACATCCCTTCTTTCGGTATAAATCCTCCACTATGTCACATTCAGTGCAATTGGGGGATTGGACCTTTCTCATTAAGTATGAGAAGCGGTTTAGAGGCATGTGTCCGGTTCGGACCCGAAATGCTATGATTAAATTTGGAGAGCAATTTAAAGTTTTTTTTTTTGAAAAAAGAAAGGAAATGATAACTCTAATTTTATTTGTTATATGGAAAATCTGAAACTTTCTAGTTTATATGTAACAAATAAAATATGTGTGTAAAATAAGTGTTTGTTCTTAAAAAAACTACTTTAAGAACATATTATATATATATATAAGTTCTCATGTGAGCGGCCAACGCGCGTTCTTCGCCACACTAATGCCAGGATCTTGACAACGCGCGTTGAAGCGCGCTTTGAGATCATAGCTACTGCCGTTCCCATGAGCGGGCGTTTTCGACGCGATGAGACGTGTTATGCAATTGAAATTGAATTTTTTTTCTATAAATGAGTACAGACTGGAATATGATGAGTAAAGATTGAGAGCTAGTAAAGCTTGACATCCTGAAGTAATAAAAAATTTGGGTTCATATAGTCTGAGTTTAGGATACAAAGTTATGAAGTAACTTTCACTGGGCCTGCATAATAAAATAGGATGGACTCAATATTTCTGTCTCCTATTGCGTTGCTGTCTGCGTCTTCGATATAAAATCCACATACATATTTAGCTGTTTCCACGTCCATCTTTGACTAATGCCGAACTTGCGAAAAAGCGCCCGCCATGTGTACATTATCCAAAAACCTAACGCGCGTTGAACGCTCGTCATTTGAACATGCTCTAAATCGCTCTCCTGTAATATGTTCCAAATGCACGTTAGACGTTTTACCTTTCCAGGGTAGAATATTTTTATAGGAATTACACTTGTATCTAGTTTTAGTAAAATCGGGTAACGGAAAGACGGTGAAATTCAATAAATAGAATTCATCCTCTAATTTGCCATCCTTAGAGGTACAATATTTTCTTCAAATTTAAATGGCAACTGCTGTGGGTACCACCTTTCAAACAGAAAAAGAATCCTCGAAATTGATTCACAAATGTCGGAATAACATACTCAAAAAAATACATCGAGTATGCATCGAATTGAGAACGCCTTCCTTTTTTGAAGTCAGTTAATAATAGCCATCGTTTTTGTTCTCTTTTTACAAAGAACACATTTTAATGTATTATACATATGTTGTGAATGTCAAATTACAATTTTTATTATAAATATACTTTATTTGTTGTGTGATTAGGGTTTTTTAAATAAAACTGCGATGTTACATTAAACATGTTGTTTTATTGTCTTTAATATTACGTATTTGTCAAAAATTCATTTATCTTCAAAATAGATGACTAGCATAAGCTTCAAGGTCGTACAGTGAAAAAATATGTGCTGCAAATTGAAAACTTGGACCTTTTTAAGGTAAGAGTGCATAATAGGCTTTATCTAGGTGTGGCATTATTTAGGTCTCTTCGTCACTTACCATCAAGTGGGATGGAGGTCACTTACTATACAAGCACTATCGTAGCAAATATTAGTTAAACATCAAAAATATAGAACAAAATACAATATAATAATTTCGGGATTCCAGAGGGAGGTATAATACCTCCACTCGACTCGTATGTACATATGTGTATAACTTCTTTGAAGTGTAGGTTATACTCTGCATATTTTGATCTCTATCACCTTTTTAAATACGAACTCGATCATAGCGTACTCGTATCATAGAATTGGCTATTCTTTTATGAAAAACTGCATCACCAAGTTAATAGCGCCGCACAAGACAATGGAACAGTAAAGAATCGCTTTAGTTAGACTAAGTTCCCCACGTAATTGTAAAGATCGAACTTGCAGAAGAGAGGGCAGTGCGAAGATATGGACTAGGCCGCTTACTGCACCCGTGTAGCTGCAAAAAAACCATGTTTCTTTATAATGTATTTGAAAAGCATGAATATACATCAAGTTGGTGGTGACAAGACAACAGAACTACTATAGCTAAAAAAGAAAATAGTTACAAGCTTTCAGAAATTAGAACGCGGAATCAAGTGTCAATGCTCAGAATCAAGAATTTTTGCTAATATTATTGTTTATTATACTGCAATAGGTTCATGTTTAGGTGAATGTTTTAAATGTATACACCATATCTAATGAAATCAAGTGGTAATTGCGGGGCGAACAAGTCGTGCACCCAAACTTACAAGAGAAGTAAAATGTAGGCCATACAAAATATTTCCACCGGGAGGGCAGGATTCCAATCCGGGACTGCATGACAGTCCAGCTTGGCTATTTCTGCCACCAAGCAGTGAGCATTATTATATTACGACTTTGAAGGGTAAGGGTGCTGGTAAAATTACAGGCACATGGGATTTGTCAACTTATGTCTCAGGGTGACAGGTTCAGTGGTAGTGCCCCTCAGATCTTTGCAATTTAAAGCTCTGAGTGGCACTGTAATTGTTATGGACAGGCGTGTCACTTATCAGCAGGCGCACGACTTGGTAGCATCACATGACATTAAAAAAAAATACGGTTCTTTTTTATATTACTTATGTTATAATTATTAATACAAAGATCGAACACTCAGAAAAAATTCCTTCGACCCGGTCGGATTCGAACCGACGTCTTCTTGCATACCGTGCCAGACGCTATACCAACTAAGCCACGGAACGAACCAACGGACCTCACGAATTTCTCTATGTGCTTGCGTCGTGTCTTTGTACTTGGTTTTTCAACTTATGTTTATTATTTCTAATATTTCGACTGAGAGGGCTTGAATCTGGTCATTAGTAAATTAAAAAAAAACTTTTTTCTAACACTCCACCTTCAAGATTTTTTAAAATGACTTATTTTTTTTAATAAAAATATTTGATTGCTTAATTTGTTTGCTACCCTGAACTACATAAAAATACATCACAAATGATAGATTGTGTCGTATGCTTATGAAGGTATTATGTTGAATGTATTTGTTCCTGTGTGCCTTATAGTATTTGTATTGTATTAGGAAGTGCTTTAATAAAATTACAATACTTACCGTATAATAGTGCCAATGTTCGGACAAAAACAGGCAGCAACAATGCATACGGCTACTATGCCAGTATTTATGCTGATCGTGAGGCACCGGTTGTCTTGAAACGGAAGAAGAAGGATCGCTTCGCAGCGCAGCATATAAGCCACCAGAGGATATACTGTTACCACCTGGAATGGCAATGGTTAAGTAAAAAAAATATTAATAAAATAACATAAAAATAATTATAAATTATAACAAACTAGTGGAGTAATTAAAAAAAAATAATATCATGGTAGAAACATCGTGACATACATCTTATCGTAAAAAAGTTACAATGGTTAAAGCGACATCTCTAGTCAGCGATGGTAGCTGTAAAGGTATCTCTCTGAGTGAAGAAATAAATTTCTCACAGATGGCGTTACGACAAAAAGTCACAAAAACAAAGTTCTGCAACAAGCACATAGAAGATTCGTAAGGTCCGCTGGTTCGTTCCGTGGCTTAGTTGGCATAGCCTCTGTCACGGTTTGCTAGAAGACGTCGGTTGGAATCCGGCCGGATCGAAGGAATTTTTTCTAAGTGTTCGATCTTTGTATTAATAATTATAACAAACTAGTGGAGTAATTTCACAAAAAATAATTGAATATTATGGTGGTTAAACATTGTGGCGTTAAAAAAATACAATATAAAGATAATCTCCATGTGCTATATAATACATATAGAAATCTGTAAGATCTGTTGACTTGTTTTGTACTGTTAAGTTGTAAAGTACTGCCAACTTACTTATTTCTGCCGCGAAAGCTTAGAGTGAGCTACATGACACCTTTTAACTTATTTGTAAAGGTGACGGGGCGCAGTGACAGTACCCCTCAGATCTTTGCGATTTAAAGTCCTGTGTGGCACTGCAACTGTTAAGGACAGGCGCGTGTCGCTTATCAACAGGTGCACGATTTCTTCGTGCCTTTACCTAATATCATATAAAAAAATAAAGACTCGGTTTATAGCTTACTTAAAAGCCGTGATAGCCTAATTGGTTTGACTTACTGCCTCTTAAGCACAGGATGTGGGTTCGAAGTCGCTTGCACCTCTGAGCTTATCGAAACTTATCGAAAAACGCAATTCTCAGGTGCCTATAATTTCACCAGCACCTCTCCATTAAGAAGCAACCGTTCCACACCTATTACAATAAATAATTTTTTAAACATGCTTACTTGAAACAGAAGCAGTATTCTCGCAACTGCAGTCATTATGTCGTGCATTTCAAAGTTGTTTAGAATATTCTGGAAGAAAAAGAATACAACAACAGGTTATTCATAATTTCAAAGATTACAGTATTTATTTTAAGTAAGTATTATTATGTTTTGAGGTTCTTAATTATTATTAATCTTTTTAAGCTAATGACTGTTAGCCAATGCTGTATAAATAAAAAAGTAATAAATCAGACATTTCCGGAAAAAATGGCGGGTTTTGTCGTTACTGTTTTTACACGAATTAAATGTTTCATATTTTTAATTATTTGTTATCTTTTTAAGCTGATTGCTCTATAGCCAATCAAAACAAATAAAAAAATAATAAATCAGGCGTTTAGAAAAAAATTGCGGGTTTCTGTAGTTCAGTTTTTAGACGAATAAATTTTTAGTTTTAAAGAGTCTTTAAAACGTTTTGACTTTCTGAATTACTTACAAGCTCTACAGCATTGGCTGTAGACTCAATACATATTGTATAAATAAATTAGGCATTTCATTTGTTCAAAATTAAGTCCAAATCTTGTTGCTCATTTAAAATATATTGTATTATGTTTAATACATTCTCAAGGTAGGTATGCTATGTCTCTAGGCTTTGTAGATTATATGATAGCCGTAAAATCGTTTGTACTCGCTTAAAGCCTGTATGTACGGGACGATTTGTCTTCTCGAGCCGTCATTTCAAACTGATCGTAACGACATCGATAATGTATGTGTTGTTAACGATTAACTTAAACGCCAAGGAAGTAGCGTCGGATCGAGACGATTATCGTAACGATCGATCGAAACGAAGAATCGTCTGTATTTGGGGGCTTTTACAAGTTTCGCACATAAATTTGATTATAGGTAATTTTTTCTCGTTTTGCTTTGATACGGTCCGAGATCCCGTATTTTTTTTGTTTGTATTTCGTTTATTAGATTTAGCAATTGTTTACGTTGTTTTGTAAGCTGTGTTCACTTATATGATCAGTTGCGTAATTAGATAAGATCTCCTCCACATTCAATTAAAGTATGTATATATATCCATATAATAACTGTTAGCGAACAAATAAATAAATTAAATTTCAAAGTATTATGACTCGATTTGTCATTTTCTTTAAAATTAAGCCTATAGAAATTATGTTGTAAGGGCACAGCTTTACTGTTTAGAGCTATTTTAGGTTCAGTAGAAATTTCAGTATACTTACGTCCTCAATACATGACTTGGCGAGGGGGAAGCAGATGTAAAACACTCCTCCTACTAGTATGTAGGTTAGGGTCACCAGTATAAAGGCTATTGTTAGATCTCGTCCCTGAAATTTATTCATAACTCGTTTATTTGTGAAAAAGGTATATAAAAATTCAATATAATAGTGAGCGAAATAGACGCAAGAGCGGGAATAGATCTCATTGGCTGTGTAGTCGCCGCGCTAAAGTGTAATTGGTCTAGAGCCATTCGAGTCAAAAGCCATTTTGTCAATTGTGATTTACAAAATGGCTTACAAAAAAAATATAACACAAACAGGGAAATCAAAATTAAATAAATAATAATTAATTAATAAACAAAATAAAAAATACAATAAAATAAACAACATTAAATAAGACAAATCTGACAAAAAACACATAACAATGACTACAAATTTTGTACTGTCATTTGTGTGGTTGTGACGTAAGCAAAAGGACTTCATTCAGCATAAGCCACAGCCATAATTGACATTGAATTGATAAGAAATATACTGTCGGCCGACGTACACCAATGCCATTAGCCGAAACTAGCGCGGTCAGTGCCCAAGTAAAATTACACTGTCCCTTTTTGGATATCCAAGAGATATTTTCTATACTTTATTTTAAAAGTGTGCACTGATTTCAGGTTAAAAATTGGCGGCGGCAGCAAGACGTTCCAAATCTTTGCTGCGGCAATTTGAAACTACCACGGAATGCAGTGGTATGATAGCGTGGTGCTACCATCGACGTTCTAGTGAAGGCTGTTTTTACATCGCGGGACCATACCAACTTTTCAGCCAGATAAGATGAAACTTTGTATTTGATAACGCCAAACAAAAGTGTTGCAAAATGCAGATCTCTTCGCGCTGTCATCTTTCAAATATTGGCGTCGTTAATACAAGGGGTTACGTGCATGCGTGGTGGTACATTGAAGCAGAACCTCGCACATGCATTCTGCACTCGTTGAATTTGCTTCTGCGTATGCGTTAACAGGAGTGGCCCGTAAACAACGTCCAAATAGTTGAACTTAGATAAACCAACGAGTCACATAATTTAACACGCATTTGTACCTGATGTTATACAATGCTTTTAACCTATAGAAACAATTTCGAACAGTTCTCAATACATGATTCTCGAACCGAAGCTGCTCGTCCATAAGAAAACCAAGGTTACGAACCGTGAGGTTCAGCGTGTAAGTGATTACATGCTGAATAACGTCACCCTTAATATCCAAAGTTACTCCGTGAACACGGAAAATCACGGCTGTATGGTTATCGCATGGTTTACACGAAATGTAAATCTGTATATCATCTGCATAAATGTGATATCTACAGTGCTTAATATGTTGTATTACATCAGCACTATAAAGGGCAAAGAGGATCGGACCCAAGATTGAACCTTGAGGCACCCCTCGTGTGATGTCACGTGACTATGATAACAATTTTGATCCATTCTGGTCAGTTGTTTTTACACATTGAAGTCTATTTCTTAGACAGCTATCGAACCATCCAATGGCAGCCTCACTAAACCCGTAATAGTGAAGCACAACAGCAGACCAACATTTATACAATCGAAGGCTCTGGAAAAATCCAACAGTGTCAGCAAGGTCCCCTGTCCACTGTCTTGCGCGGATAAAATGTCATCAACAACATGAACCATAGCAGTTGTCGTGTTATGCTTTTTCCTAAAACTCGACTGAACAGCAAGAAGAATTTTATTCTTTTCTAAAAAGTCAATTGTTTCACTACATTTTTTTCCAAAACTTTCGATACGCAAGATAGTATGCTTATCGGTCGAATATCTTGTAAGGTTGTTGAATTATTAATTTTGGGGATAGGCCTTATTACTGAATGGCGCCAGTCCGCTGGAAACGTATTAGTTTCAATGGATCTGTTTATCATAGCTGTTACAACGGGTAATATGGTGGGCAAAGACATAAGCAGCATGTCTAGTGATATGCCGTCATGACCTACCGCTTTCGACTTCAGCGAACGCATGATGTAGAACCTCAAATTCTTCTACTTTCTCAAGTACAAATTTTGTGGACACATTACAATTTTGCCCAAAAAATGTTAAGTCCGTTAATGCGGCTTGTGCATTACCGGGCAGATTTAAAAAAATATTATTTATTAAATTGGGTTCGTTATAAATATGCACAGGCAGCTCTTGTTACAATTTATTCTAACATTTTTTTACGTGCGTCCATAATACCCGGGAGTCTTTTTGATTGTTTATGTACTGATCATAATAAGCTTTTTTTCACTTAGTTAATACATTATTTACAACTTTTTTGAGCTCTTTATAATAAGCATTTTGCGAGTCTTTAGTGTTATAGCGCGATGCAACATGGGCTTCATCACGACGCTTCATTAGTTGTTTTACGTTGTAGGTATCCACGGATACTGGTGCTGCCTAGCACGCAACACTCACAGTGGTGCATGTATATCAAACAACGCCACCAACTGATTACTGAATTGCCTCACCATGTCATCAACATCACTTAATTTGCTTATACCCGTCCAGTCTATTGTATACAGATCCATGCCAAATTGCTTGCAGTCAATATATTGCAGGTTTCTGCGAATAACCTGTGTTGGTGCCGGTTTTGCCTTCACTATGTTTAGGAGGCATGTAATAAAAGCATGGTGACTCAGTGCATGTATATACTCAACTTGTATCACAGTATTATTCATATCAGTACTAATAGTATCAATAAGAGTTTCACTATACTCTGTAAAATGCGTGGGTTCAGACACTAGTTGTTTCAATGTATGATGGTGAGAAAGTCCATAATCTTTTTGGCATCACTATCTGAATGACGCAATAAATCTACATTAAAATCGCCTAAAAGAACTACTCTGTTGCACCACGAGAAACAACTCAAACTATAAGCTAATGCATCCACAAAAGTGTCTACATTAAGCCACTGTGGTCTGTACGCTGTCCCTATCAGTAGTTTTATGCCGGCAATATTTACACACAGCCACATTTGTTCTACGAGCGAAGCTGGTGGATGAGGCAATATGCGAACCGCGATACCCTGTCGTATGTAGAAGCCCACCCCACCACCGCGCGAACGACGTAACCTATATCCAGGTACCGACACGGTGCGCGACCCTCTTCGCCCTCTCTCAACCAAGTCTCGTTAATGGCCATCATATCAACATCGTGACGATCCATTGCTACCAGAAATTCATGGCGTGTCCCCAATGATCCCACATTTAATAACCGTAACTTAAGTTTACGTTTTAAGTTAAATTTGAATACAAAAATACATTGAAATTGCAATTCAATAAATTATTTGTAATTAGCTGCTTTTGGGTAATTGCCAAGTAATGATAGTATGGCGCTATAATTAACGAAAGATAAAATGTGAATAAAGTTATAAATACAAGTAGGTAGCATATCTGTCGGAGGCGTACTATAATTTGAATGTTTACCCGTTTATAAACATCGTTTTTGTATAATGCATGTTTAGTGTTGTGTTCGTTTAAATACTGTAAATAGTGTATCTGTGTAATCATGTGTATTGTTTGTATATGTATATATTTACAACCAACAAAATTAATATTTGTGGTTGAGTGTATAAATATTAAAATAGTGTAGAATATCTTGTAATGCATTGGAACTATTTCACCGCCACACACATGACAGTACATTATAATTTGTATTAGATTTAGCACCCCTAATATAACAGTAAATAACAAATAAGCTTCCGATTCTTTTACGATTCTGCAGTTGTGGAACGAACGCCGTGGGGGTCAAAAGTTTTCACCAGATTCGCTTCACTAATAATACGGTGAGCGGGGGCTCCGGTATCCTGCGTAAATTCTACCGTCTTTGGTCCAAATGTATTTCCACTGTAGACGACTTCTTATTTGCCTCGCCCTGTAGAAAAGGTGCACCCTTGTCAACCGCTCATTGATAAGAATGGCGTCACGCGTAACGCGACGCGTTAGCCGTAATGGCAGCGGCCGCGGACGCGCGACCACCTCGCGACACGGAGCACCAGCGCGCGCAGCTCACCACATCGCGATCCTCCAGCGGCACGCCGAGCTTAGCAGCACAGGCCAGTGCCAAATGTATGGGATTCTCCCCAATCTCCTCAGGCAGGCCGTTGACCCAAGATGACGGCACCGTCCTATTTTTATTTACTCCTACACAGTCCCTATTTGTTTGTTTACACGTAGGGCAGGTGACACTGGCGCCCTCTAGCGTTGACATAAATTTGCAACGTGCACTGCACTTAACTACCATATTGATCGCAAAGAATTTGCACTTTGATTCAAGGTGCGGGACTCAGTAATGAGTACGACGAATTTCCGAAAGGGGTCGCTTCACTTAATTAAGTCTATGAATTGTTTATTATAATTGCCGGTATTTATTTAAATTGCTTGCATGTCGTACACACACTCACACTCTAATATACTTTATATTTTAACGTGAACACGGAACTTTGGATACCTCTTTCTATGTATTTTCAAGTACTATTAACACTGTTGTCTATTTTTATTTGTGCAATTACCGAGCGAAATTCCAAAGAGCAAGTAGTCACACAGACGTCCGTGACGTCACTCCATATTATTGGATCAGAATAAAGAAAATCCAACACAACTACTTATTCAAGCGGTCGAAAAGTTGCGAAAAATTTGTATAAATATAGTATATGATCTATAATTTGTATGTATAGGTATGTATTGTTAATGTATGTACAGTGATTGCTTATAACATTTAATAAACTATTTATGTACCTAAAATTATTTGCGATTTTTTTTACATTTGATAATAATATAAAGATTGAAAACTCACGTTGTTTTCCTGCCTGTCATTATTACTCATAATGGTAATGATAATGTTGTGTATATAGAAGGATAGCGCCAACATGCCACTTAGCACTGCCGCGTCTTGCCCCGGATGTGCATCCGTAGGTTGTGTTTCAATGTTCACGCCCCATGCTATGCTCTTTACGAGTACGAAAATTAGGAGGTAGGCTACTGAAAGTGTACCTGAAAAAAATCGATAGCTATCTTGAATTGGGTAGGACGGTCGACAGTGAACCAGGAGTACACTATGCGAGACGTCAACAGAGGGCTTTACAAAGACATTCTATCGCGCATGATACAGCAATAGAAGAAGAAACACCACAAAATTTTAAGGTCGTATTCCAGAACTCTACTCAATGCACAAGTCAGGATTTGAGCAGACTTGAGTATGATTTTAAGCACTGGAAATACGACCCTAATGGCAAGGACTTGAGTATAATTTCAGTGCTCACTGCAATACTTAAGTCCTGACTTGAGTATTGAGTAGAGTTCTGGAATAGGACCCTTAATATTGATTGGTCGTACTTTCAAATTTAAGAAGAAATAACATTTCTGGATTGCTAATATAATTTAGACTTTACCCCGTTGGCATATCGTTGAAAGTTCAGTACTATCAAATACCTATTTTATTGCAACTTGCAAAGTTTTGGATTTATACTGAAATTTCAATGAATGTGCCGCCATCTAGCGGTTAATAGCTGAACGACGACGAATTCGAGATGTTAATTACTTCTCCAAAAAAAGTTTTGATATAATATTGAAATTTCAATCAATGTACTGCCATCTATCGGTTAATTGCTGAACGACGACGAATTGGAGTTATTAATTTAGTTATCCAAAAAAGAAGATATGGGGTTGCTTTACTTTCGTTTTTTGTAACAAAACAAATATTTCGATAAACAGAAAACTTTATTAATATAAGACTTTCCGATGATATGAAATACCAACTCGAGTAATATTTTTTGTGAGTCTATCATTATTGCACTCCAAAACTGCACAATTTTTATTGATTTTAGAGAATTGGCGCGAAAGAATGACTGAATGAATACAAAGCGAAAATGGCGGATACGTCTTTCGAGACCTATAGTTGGCACCCATCAGACTAACTAACCACTTCTACTGTATTTATTGTTCTGTGGTTGTAACAAAAACAAGCACGAACAATCGTGCGCGAGGGAACGCGAGCTTAAAAAAAATCAAACAGGTAATCGCGCTCGATTGCGCGTGCAGGCTTTCCCACGCGCATACCTGTACGTTCCTGATCCTGCGTGATAGAATGACTGTATAAAGGGCGCTAAAAACTAAGAAACGCGATATTGGAATTTGGTGCAAATCGCACCAGCAGCTTGAGTTTGATTGCTTCTCCCGATCGGAAACTGCGCCTCTTCCGAGTCGAGGCGCATAATTGCGATTCACAAAGGGCCGATCGGAAACTTTTAACATTTGTAATCGGAACAACAGTTGATTTAATTCACAAATTAGAAAGACATAGTAGGAATCAGCAGTTTGATTTTGATTCCGATTTTAATTAGAATCAGCCTGCTGGTGAACTTTTACTGTACACGTCTCTTCCCAGTCGATAGCGAGATAGCAGCATAGATAAGTAACTACCTATAATAGTATAGTAGTAAATGCCTGTATGTATTAGAACTATAAATATAATACAATAATTCCGGATTTTCAAATGGATTTAGTATTCACTCTTATTTGTATTACTTCCTCTGCCTACACCACGGATGAACAAAAAATGGAAGTGCCTTCCTTTAGCATCGATTACTGGCAGAACCGCTGTCGACAATACTCCCACATTCATAATTTGAAGCACTATGAAATCTTAATAATGATTGATCGTAGTTTATAAAAAGGTAATAATAAATTATGGACTTTGTGGTTGTTGGCATATCGTCGAAAGTTCGATATCATCAATACCTATTATTGTAACTTGCAACGTTTTGTATTTATACTCAAATTTCAATCAATGTGCTGCCATCTAGCGGTTAATGGCTGAACGACGACGAATCCGAGATGTTAATTACTTCTCCAAAAAAAGAAGCGACCATATTGCATCGATAGAAGGTTAACTTTCGTTTCTTTGTTCCGTGGCCTTTTGCTCATTTTATTTTATTACCTAGCTAAGCAATTAAATAACTCACCTAAAGAATTAAATTTTGTGAAAAAGGAAACGTTTTTAAAATTCAACAACGGGAATACGATAACAGCTACGTAGACCGGTACAGTGCTATGCAGGCCCCAGTACGGTGTGTCGTAGTTCGGGACCGGGATTATGAGCGACCCATTCACGCCATCGTGTTTCGGGCACAGGAGAGTGGTGTTGTAATCGGTCGTGTTAGATGTTAGATCTGGAAAACACGTTAATTATATTGTATATTTATAGACTTTCTGCCTGTATTTTTAATTATTGTTTGGTATTGGAAATATTTGGTGTTTAAGAGTTTTTTTTTAAGTTCTGTACTTTTATCATTATATCATTAAACTCGAATTTTATTTTATTCCCTTTCGATGGCGGCAATGAACAAACATTAATTGGGATTTTTTATTCCATCTGTTTTTTTTACCATTGGCAACTATTGGGATATCCTATATTCCATTTGTCGCTAGTGGCAACAGTCGTCAATGGCAACAACAGATCTTTTTATTCCATTGTCACCGCCTGGCAACATATGGGTTTTTCCCCATTTGTCACCGGTAGAAATCACCACTGGCAACAACTGCGATTTTTTTATCCCGTTCGGGGAAAAAAATGGTGATAAAAAATGGTGGTTTTTTGTAGTTACAGTTTTTCACAAATTAATTTTTAATTTGAAGTATTACTACGTTTTAAGTTTCTTAATCCGTTGGTGCTTGTTTAAGCTGATGGCTCTATAGCCAATGCTCAACAAATAAATAATAATTATCCCGTTTGTCACCACCTGGTAATATATGAGATTTTTTCCCATTTGTCGCCAGCGGGAACAAAGCCACTGGTGGCAATTGGGAATAAGCCGTTCAGGGTAGTACTGCCACCTTATCTATTTCTGCCGTCAACCAGTAATGTCAGCATTACTGTGTTCCGATTTTGAAGGGTAAGGGTGCTAGTGAAATTACAAGCACATGGGACTTGTCAACCTATGTCACAGGGTGACAGGCGCCCCTCAGATCTTTGCGATTTAAAGCTCTGAGTGGCACTGTAACTGTTATGGACAGACATGTAACTCACCATCAGGCGCACGACTTATTCGTCCCGTCACTAAACATTGTATTAAAAGACTGTAATAACTACCTCCGCGGCCGAACGGTTACCATGCCGGACTGCCACGCAGAGGTTCCTGGTTCGATTCCCGGGTCGGGAGAAATATTTGTATGGCCTACATTTATTTCTCTCGTGAGTTTGGGTGTAAATTGTGATTGCCTATGTGTGTGTCCATGGCACCCGCGACACAGGGTTTCCCTAGTGCGGGGCTTTGTTGATTGTGTGCGTTATTATTATTATTAATTGCTATAATTAAATATATACAACATTTTTATTTAATTTCATCCATGTTCCTATTATTCCTCGTTTCGCTGTAGCTCAAATGTATGCACCGCGAATTGCCAATCAATTGAAAAAAAAAACTTGCAAAAATTGTTAGTAGCTTTTTCGTATTTTGGTAAATCGTTAAAATTGCCAGTAATCAAAACAGAAAATTTTGAAAAAAATTAATGCCATGGTTATAAAATGTAAAATATTATTCTTACCAACGAAGTAATTAACAGTGAAATAAAGGAAATTGGTAATAAGTATCCAATAAACAATGTTAGCTCCGAAAAGAACAATTAAACTGAAAACATGCGCGATCCCTTCTGCAGTTTGACCTAACAGTATGCGACATAGCGCTGGAACCTCGCAGGTGGCACTACCTGTTCCTGCAAATAATAACAAAATCAATGACTATATGGAGTCAAGATAAAAGCTATGAAATCGTTTACATGCGGTACATTTGTGGTCCTTCGTTAGAGAGTCATGAATATCGAACTATATTTATAGTATGTTTATAGATAGATATATGTCTATGGGTTTCACTTTATTATTTTTCTTTAGTTATATAAGTAAATAGTTCCGAGTTAAACTTACCATGGCGTTTATGTACTCTGAGCAGTACATAAGCTGTATAAAGACACAAGGCGGACATGATGGCAACGAGTACTAATGCCACCGGCAGACCAGCTCGCTCCACACCCCACGCCATAGTTAGAAGGGACGAACCCATTATTGTGTTCCATACTGAGAATCTGTAAATGTTGATACAGTTTATAAATCCAAACTAAAACTCTATCTCTCTGTAATAGACGTTTACACGCCTAAACCGCTAAATCAATTTTAATGAATTTTGGTATAGAGATAGATGGGACTTAGGAGAAGGACATAGACTTAAAATAGTTTTTGCCACAAAAATAAGTCTTAAAGGGGGTGAAATAGGGCATGAAAGTTTGTATGGAGAACTAATAAAAACTTTGAAAATTAGCATAGTACAGGGGGCTTCTCAAAGTACTACCCAGTACAGGAGCCAGTGTTGCTCAATCTCAAAACTTAAATGTTGATTTAGTTAGTTGATGTTTAGTATTTTTACGGTGGTTTAATTTTTTATTTTATTTTAACTGTTGTTTTATATTTATAATGTCCAGGCTATCTGAATAATTGTAAATGATGACATTATTTCTCTGATTTTTAATTATTGTATGGTATTGGAAATATCTGATGTTTATGACTCATTTTTCTTAATTTTTGAAACTGTTTTTCCGGATTTAAATCACGTATATTTGTTTTTCAAACAGTAAAAGACTGCATTGAAATTGTACGTAGAAAGCTAAGGGAACATAATATGTCCTTTGAATATGCAGAATTATTAGAATGTGCCTAGCATCAGGCTATCTATTGTGGAATAATGAATTCTACCGGTGTAGCGATGGGCTCTCATGTATCTCCCGTTGTTACCGATATTTTCATGGAAGACTTCGAGGAGCGAGTTTTACCCTTGGTCCCGGCTAGGCCAAAGATTTTCAAACTCTACGTTGATGATACTTTCAACATATTAACTAAAGATAGTATACCTTCTTTCTTGGACTATCTTAATTCTTTCAGTAGGTACTAAGATTCAGTTTACTATGGAACAAGATAATTGTGGTACTTTAGCTTTCTTAGATGTTTTAATTAAAACTTCTTAGGCCATACTGTATTTCGAAAGAAAACCCATACGGATATGTACCTCATTGGTAATTCCCATCACCATCCTAGCCAGTTAGCTACCGTGGGCAAATCTTTGTTTCAAAGAGCAAATGGTATCTGCGACAGTATCATCTTGGAAGGATAACTTCAGCATATAAAGCAAGTCCTACATGCGAATAAGTTGAAGATTCCACGCCAATGCCGCAGGCCCAGTGTTTAACCACCAACAGTTGAGCGAAGACTTGCCATTTTACCTTACGTGAGAGGTGTTACAAACAAAATCGGAAGAGTCCTCAGGCGTGCATCTATCAAGACCTATTTCAAGCCCCTGAGGAAGATTTCTCAGTTCCTGAAACCCGTGAAATGTAACATCTACTTACAGGATGCAGGAATTTAAAAGCTTGATTGTGAGTGCGGTCCCTCTAATATTGGACAAACGAAGCGAAGTATTTGTACCAGCGTCAAAGAACATATAGCTGATGTTAAACATCGTCGCGTAAACAAGTCCTCAGTCTGCGATCATGTCATGGATTAATCTACACTTTCTATGAAGTTTGACAAGCCCCAGGTCCTTGCAAAAGAAGTCCGTTATCTACACAGGATGCTGTGAGAGACCATTGAAATTAAAAAACATCCTAATTTCAACAGGGGAAGATGGTTTCTCCGTGCCACCAGTTTGGGATCCAGTATTTCCTCTGATGAAAAATCCCAAACAGACATAAGACTGCAGTACTAATTAATATGTTTTAATTTATCCTAATTCCATTATTAATTAATAATAAATTTAACTTAATAAAAATTAATATTGTTGTAATACAATAATTTGTAAAACAATGTAGTGTAAATTGGAATGCTTCCTTGTAAAATTAAGAATATGGTATTTAATTAATAACTTTTGTAACTATAGTGAAAAAATAGGGTGGTTTGCATTAATATTAGACATAACTGGTTGATGCCTGTACCACCTCAGTCAACCGTGACCATGGGACCCGTAAAGGGCCCGAAACGTTGGTTTGTTAAAAAAACAAATATACACGATTTAAATCCGAAAAAATAGTTTCATTTCCTATGTGTAACAATCGCGAAAACCTAAGAACTCGACATCAGAATTTTATCATTAAACTCGAATTTTTTTATTCCCTTTCGATGACGGCTATAAACGACGGATAAACAAATCTTCATTGGGATTTTTTAAATTCCGTTTGTTACCAGTGGCAACAACAGATCTTTTTATGCTGTTCGTCATCACCTGGCAACATACGGAGGTTTTTTTCCTATTTGTCGCCAGTGGAAATCACCACTGGCAACAACTGAGATTTTTTTATCCCGTTTGTCAAAGATCCCACCTGGTCAGAGGACATGGGTTTTTTCCCATCTGTCGTCAGTGGGAACGAAGTCAGTGGTGACGACTGAGAATAAGCAGTATTATTGATTGATTTCTTTGTTTGCACCATTTTTGAGTTACGTACTTTATTGGCTAGTTTGGATGCGCTTGTAAACTATTTGTTCAACTTTGAACATCATGTATTTAACAACAAAACCCAAGATCGTAACATACATTTAAACTGTCACAAAAAATGGCCTCATCATCAGGCAACAACTGCAACATAGTAACATAATTAACTACTTAACAGAAAAGAGCTTCGTCGGCAACCAACACATATAGCACACTAAGAAAAACCTATCATTATGTATTAGTCATAAAAATTGTATAAATAGTAATAAGATTTGTAAATATATTCAGTTATCCACTACCATCTGATTTTAACTCATCATCCTGCTTAGTACTACCTGCTACTCCTCTCATTGGGGCCAAGTAGCCGTAAGTGGGTCGGTCTTGTGAGTCTGCTTGACCGGCAGTGAGAATACTACCATTCCAGTACACATTGCACGACGTGTACTTTCTTACCTCCTTCCAACCTTCTGTTTGTCACCTTAGGTCTCATAGTGACAGACTTCCCGTTCATATCTTACATATATATATCTCCGTCTATATATTTTTAGTTAGGTTAGGCTACACACCGTTAGGTTGTAGGGCTACACTATTTGATAATTCATTGGAACAACGATCGAGGTCTCACCGTTAGGTTTAAAAGGGTAGTTTATATTTTTATCTTAACTTTACCACAATTTCATGCACAGCAGTTACGAAAATTGCCTTAAAACAAACTTATTACGCGAGAAGGTAAAAGGTTACGAAAATTTAAAGCTAGTTTCACAGTGGTGCGTACGGTACGTACGGTCTGCCCGCCTGCGGGCCATCCGTATGCGTAGAATCCGCAGTGATCTGAATCGAGTATTTAATTTAGTGCGGATATTCACGGAAAACAGTCGCCTACAATAAACGTATAAGTGGCTTAGGCAGAGTTCATGTCAAGAGTGTTCCTTACGGAGCAATCCGCGTCATTGTAAAACGATGTTCTAACGCCACCATGACCTAACCAGCCTTATGAATGTAACCATCCGGCAGCGCTGGTATGAGTTATTATATTACAGTAGGTTACTTTCTAACTCACATCGTGACGAGGGAGCTTTGCTTCCTTCGGTCCGGTTTCCTTTGATTCTCGATCCTCTTGTGCGTGGCGAGAATTTCGCTCGATGAAAACTCTCCTGGGCCCTAGAACAAATGACTCTTTGTCAATATCAAACTGAATACAACCTCGTAAACATCGTGTGTAACATTTTTTAACTCTTTATTTATTTAGGGTGTTCAGTTTAGCAGCAGTAGAGATCCTCGTGAAAGAGTGCGTCGAGGGAAGTACTGCCACCTTACCTGTTTCTGCCGTCAAGCAGTAATGTTAGCATTACTGCGTTGCGGCTTAGAACGGTAAGGGTGCTGGTGAAATTACAGGTACATGGGACTTGTTAACTTATGTCTCAAGGTGACGGGCGCAGGAGCAGTGAGAGTTAAGGTTGTAAGCCGGCAGCAGTGTGCAAGAGAGAATGAGAGATAAATATAATAATCTACAAATAGATAATATAAGGAATAATAAATAACATCAATAAACATACACACAAATATAATATACACATACATAAATATATATGTAAAGAAGACTCCATGAAGATTCAGAAGAGTTCAGCAAGAAAGTGCGATGTCAAATTTTTCTTGAAAGAAGCAAGCGACGGCTAGACTGGATATAGGAAGAGATTTGTTCCACGACTGCGCTGCACGAGAAGAAAAGGAGTTATGAAAGACATTTGTTTTACAGCTTGGACGAACGAGCATCTTAGTGATACATGGAAGCGAGTCGGGTCGGGACCGCGCATCTCGCGCCCGCGCTCGGTGTGTGTCGTCCGTATAAATACACGGAATTAGACCCGACCCGCGCCCAATTCGTACCCGCTCTGTGTGTTTCATGCCTAAATGTTACTCTTAGGGTTAGTGCAAACCGGCTGGTGGCCAGGCAAAGGACGTTAAATTTATCAATGTATATTATATGCTATTTTAATTGAAATAAGGGTATAAATTTCAATGGTGTTATTTTATTTTTTAACTTAAATTTGAAATTGATTCAATTACACAATATAAAACACTCATACACACTTCTAAAAACACATACAAGTGCACTACTCCCATTAACTGTTTTCATACATTAATATATTACATTACAATGCATTATTTGACTTGCCCGTGGGCGGCAGTTCAGTACGAAACTTACTTCGATTTACGGATGTTGTAATAGTTTCATTATTAAATTTTTTATTAGTAGTAATCGATCATTTTATAAAAAAATATTTTTACAATTGGATAATAATTTAATTTCAGATTTAGATAATTTTAGTGTAACAGAAAGACATATTTGCGAGCCTGAATCCTATCGTAGCTGTATAGGCGTATACATAGATCCCACTCTTCTATTACGATTTTGCAACAGAATATACGCAGCATAAATAAAAATTATGATGGTTTGTGTATCCTCCTAACTAACCTAAAATTGAATAGTGACATTATTGTTCTATCGGAATGTTGGTTGATTATCATGCGTTCAGAATCTACCGATTCGATGGTTACACTAATTTTAGATAAACTTATAACGACAACCAAAATGATGGTCTAGTAGTTATGATCCAAAATAGGCTTAAGTTTAGTGTTGAGGAACCTCGATTGTCGGATGCTAACTGCCTTTTAGTCAGAGTGGGTAAAGATATTACATTGCTGGCTATATTGTCCCCCTTGCTTCACAAACATCGAAAACTTTCTATCTTCTCTTACCGTTATATTATTAGAATTAACCATCTTTAAAAATACGATTATTGTGGGTGATATTAAATTAATCTTTCTGAAAATATTGAAAATGCTTCCAATTACTTCATTGACTTACAATTATATGGACGTCGGGTCCGCGCTAAAAAGTGTCCGAAGTTATAGGGTGTTAAAATCGTATACAGAGCGTCATTCACGCTCTAGTCTTCGTTTGTTCGACTGACAGCGAAGCAAGCAAAATAAGACAGTACTGCGATGACATTACAATTTAAATTCAACGTTTTAGCTATTTCATATTCCTTGACATGTCACTACGTTTAAATAGGTTGACTTGGGACATTTTTTTCGTGGTTTTTGTATTAGACCCGTCGTCCATTTATTTGTAAGTCAATGAATTACTTAGATATTCTGTCATATAACGGGATGATTCCTGTCTCTCAAATCGTCTGTCTGCCTTATGTTTGCTGACGATGTCAAAATCGCTTTGCACCACGAATTTCGATCAACTCCAAGCTGATATTAACAGCATTTTAACTTGGACGGGCCGGGACAGCAGCTTGGAGATGAATGTTGAAAAGTGTTCAGAGATGTCTTATTCCCGGAGATATCCAATCGTCAATGAGTACAGCCTCGATGGCACGACCTTGAACCGTGTGAAGTCTGTTCGTGATTCGGGAGTAAGATTTAACGATCATGTTATTGATATATCGACACATCCGTAGAACAAAGGACTATGTGTAAGACTACTTGTTCTCAGGACATAGTACATTTCGTTCGTTCTTCTTCGCTGTGGATGTCAGATCGACCTTTGTTCGATTTTATATTTCCGAAACGAAGTAAGATATATAAATTCTCAAAATACCTTTACATAGGATCTAGTTTGAATAACGAAATTGTTCTCGTAACGTACTTATTCTCTTTTCGCTATATAATCACATCGGACTGTGTTCTTCGGATGAGTCGATATGTAATAGTGCTTGGAAAAGTCTTGATTTCATCAAGCGGCAATGTAAGTTTTTTGACCATCGACAGGCAATTTGTAATTTATATAACGCCTTTGTTCGAAGTAAATTGGAAGCTACGGGTGCAGTGTGGAATCTCCACAATAAACTCTATATTGCAATGTTGAAACGAATCCAGAAATCATTTTTAAGATATTTATACAGTAAACTTTATTGGTACTATCCATATATGTATACACCCTTTATTTTGGGCATGGTATCGTACAGATCGCTTGAGTTTTACCCTAATAAGTGAATATATAATTAACTCTCCTCTATTGGCTCAAATTCCTTTTTTATCCCGCCAATCTCACGTCACGCAGTGACACTAAGACGGACACCATTCTTCGAAGCCCTGGTCAGAAACACTGCATCAAAATTTCTAACATCCGCTGGTTACTATTTAGAGGCGGTCTCCGCCCAAAGCTCTGTGGTCCAAATTCCGTATCCTACCTATAATATAACGATATAAGGGGATTTGTTTATTAAAGGAAACACCGGTAGCCATTGACATTGGAAAGTGACGTTTTATTCAAAACCACAGATAAAGTACATGAATGATAGTGGTGTACTATGATATACTAATATGAATTAGAGATGTGACATCTAACCATGACACTACCTTTGGCCGGTGATCGACTCAATCTTTTTTGTGACTATGACTTACATGTTTAGATAAAAGTACTGTAAGTGTAAGTTGTAAAAATAAATAAACTTTGGAACAGTTTTCACTCACATTGCCAAAGTTATTGTGTTACAACATGAACTGTCTATATAAACTACAGTACATTATATAGGTCTAATTCTTTGTCCTTGTGATTTCTTGTATTTAGTTAATATAAAAAATACGTGTCTTATAATTATTGGGCGTTGAAATTTTTTTATCTTGCCTAAGTGAGCTTAAGTGAGCCAAATAAATAAATAAAACTCTCAAAACCTTCGCCTTACATCTTCATCTCGTTATTTGTAGACGTGTTGCTTACCACCATACCAGACAAAACCCTTTTATGCCTAGGGTATATAATTATTTGCATTACATAGATTAGATTAATGTATCGTACTTAGTTGCTAAGTCAGAAGGGGCAAAAATGTTTATTATTTAGGTTTAATATAGGCCAATCAATTATTATATTTGTTTACATTGATCAATAAATGATTACAACAATCTCGGTTATTCGCACATCAGTCTTAAAAAAATAGGCACTGACAAAATGCTTACCAAGGAGTCAGATTCAGAAGTGACGCTCATATAAACAGGCACAGCAGACGGCGAGGTGACTAGAGGCTCAGTCTCCCGCCTGTCCATGGTGTTGTAGTAGCGTGTGATACAGCTTACGGGGTTCAAATACGAGGTTTTGCACCTGGGAAATTAATTGAATGAACAAAATGAACAGTCCCATATCTTTTCTACATTGACTTACAATTCTATGGACGTCGGGTCCGCACTAAAAAGTGTCCGAACTTATAGGGCGTTAAAATCGTATACAGAGCGTCGTTCACGCTTTAGTCTTCGTTTGTTTGACTGACAGCGAAGCAAGCAAAATTAGACAGTACTGCGATGACATTACAATTTAAATTCAACGTTTTAGCTTTTTCATATTCCTTTACATGTCACTACGTTTAAATAAGTTGACTTGGGACATTTTTTTCGTGGTTTGTGTATTAGACCGGTCGTCCATTTATTTGTAAGTCAATGCTTTTCTATAAAAGATTTGTTTATAGTGACATTCCCTATCAACCTCTTGATTATGCGAGAAGGGTACATAATATAACCTGTGCGAGCAAGCC